ATAAATTCATAGATGTGGTTCTGGTTAGGGTTTCCAGCAAACAAAAAATCTCGCGAAAAAAAAGCAAACAATTTTGTTAGTATTTCGCAAACTTTTTTGCGAATATGAATCAAGCGTAAAAATGCAAAAACGATGCAAAATTTTGCGAAAAATTATAGGAAAATGGTTCACAATTCTTAGAGGAATACTTTTAAACAGTTCTTATTCTGGTCTGCTAGGAATAGTTTTAGACATTTCTGGATTTAGGAAAGGATTGAACAAAATTAATAAAAATCTACAAGCCTTATAATTTAATTCTAAATTTATCGATTTTAATTAAAGTAAGATTCAAAACTTAACAATTAAACCTTTTTTCTTAAGTATAGCAAATAAATATACTTTGCACCATCGTACAGAAACATGTGAAGAGAAAGTATCATCTAAAGAATCGTTAACACTCCCTTTAAAGAACGCAAAGAGATTAGATGTTAAGTGTCAGGCTGAGAAAGATTAATGTTCTCTAGTTTTAATGTTCAAACTCATAAAGAGAAAGTTTTCAAATTTTCTCTATGCAGTATTATCTTTAACATGCAGAAGCTCCACATATTGCTTTTTAATAAATTGTTTTAGTTTCAAAATTATATAAGAACTTTGACAATTCACAAAATTAAAATTGTTTTAAAAATGTTAAGTAATATATTGCAAAAGACCTGTAGAATGTATAAAAAATGTAGTCTAGAGAATGTTTAAAGAATGTAGTCTGGAGAATGTAGAGAATTTAGTCTGGAGAACATATTAAGAATGAAGTCTGAAGAATGCATAAAGAATGTAGTCTGGAGAATGTATACAGAATGCAGGCCGGAGAATGTATAAAGAATAAAGTCTAGAGATTGTATAACGAATGTATTCTAGAGATTGTGTAAAGACGGTAGCCTGGAGAATGTATAAATACTGTATAAAAAATGTAGTCCTGAGAATGTATAAAGAATGTAGTGTGGATAATGTATAGAGAATGTAGTCTGGAGAATATATAAAGCATCGAGAATGAATAAAGAATGTAGTCTGGAGAATGCATAAAAAATGTAGTCTGGAGAATGTATAAAGAATGTATTCTGGAGAACGTATACAGAATGCAGTCCAAAGAATGTATGAAGAATGTAGTCTGGAGATTGTATGAAGACGGAAGTCTGAAGAATGTATAAAGAATGTAGCCTGGAGATTGTAAGAAGACGGAAGTCTGAAGAATGTATAAAGAATGTAGTCTGGAGAATTTATAAAGAATGAAGTCTGGTGAATGTATCAAGAATGTAGTCCGGAGAATGAATTAAGAATGTAGTCTGGAGAATATATAGAGAATGTAGTCCGGAGAATGTTTAGAGCATGTAGTCCGGAGAATGAATAAAGAATGTAGTCTGGAGAATGTATAAAGAATGAAGTCTGGAGAATATATAGAGAATGTAGTCTGGAGAATGTATAAAGCATGTAGTCCGGAAAATGAATAAAGAATGTAGTCTGGAGAATGTATAAAGAATGTAGTCTAGAGATTGTGTAAAGACGGTAGCCTGGAGAATGTTTAAATAATGTATAAAAAATGTAGTCCTGAGAATGTATAAAGAAAGTAGTGTGGATAATGTATAGAGAATGTAGTCTGGAGAACGTATACAGTATGCAGTCCAAAGAATGTATAAAGAATGTAGTCTGGAGATTGTATGAAGACGGAAGTCTGGAGAATGTATATAGAATGTAGTTTGGAGATTGTATGAAGACGGAAGTCTGAAGAATGTATAAAGAAAAAAAAAGAAAATTTCTTCTTAAAAACAAATTTCTTACAAAAAATGAAAATTGTTTCTAAAAACATAAACACATAAAGCTCTTCTAAAAACATAATGTTCTTCTCACAATGTTCTTCGAAATCCTATTGTTCTCCAAAAAGCATAATGTTCTTCTAAAATCAAAATGCTTTTCTAAAAACATATTTTGCGCTACTAACCAAGGTCTTTCCCAGTAGAAGCCACAATTAAACATAATAATATCATAATATGTCATTCATCTTTAATCAAACAAAGAGTACCGTTGAATGGAGGCTTACTAGAAATTACGTCTTAAGTCCCTTTAGGAAAATGACAAACATGTTCATCTCTTTCTTCCTAATTTCCCCAGGTTCTATCCTCTATCTGTCACAACAGGATAATTATACTTCAAGCCATATTCAGACATTCATTCATCATAAATAATAAATAAGAAAAGAAAAAAGAAATACTTTTGAAGAACTTATACAGGGTGTCTAAAAAAAACCGGGATTAAGGTATTACAGACTCGTTTGTAATAGGTTTTTTTAGATGGCGACCATTTTTAAAATATACGTAAAATTTTCGATTTAATAATAATCTCCGTTTGCACAATTTTGAATTTTTGTGTCTACACTCTACAGACTTGTAATCGGATTTTCAAGATTGAGAATACTTTTAATGTCTACGTACTATACAATTTCAGATTTCATGAATCCAATTTTAGACTTGGTAGATCTAAAAAGAGCAATTGTTTAGGCTCCTAAAGTTTCCAACGTTCATTCACTTTACAAACTTGAGGTCAACATCTTACATCAGGAGCGAAATAGCTGCCCTGTAGAGGCTGTACCCTGCTGTCTCTCAAAAGGCTATTTTTGAAGTTGGATCAAGGGCACAAAAGTGTCTTGCTGCTAATAGTGGATATTTTGAATAAGATCTAAATCCAGATCTACAGGCTTGTTTTTAATCGGATTTTTAAGATTGAGAACAATTTTAAAACTACGTACAATTTCCGATTTGATGAGCTCAAGTTTAGGCTTGTAGATATAAAAATAACAATCTTATAGGCTCCTAAACTTTACAACTGGAGCGAGTAAAAAGTAAAAGATAATCTCCGTTTGCACAAAATTGAGCAAATGGAGATTATCTAATTTTTACCAAATTTACTGACTCTGCAGCTGGAAACTGTAGACAGTAGGAGACTATAAATTGTCATTTGTAGATCTACAAGCCTAAAATTGGGCATTGAATCAGAAACTTTACGTTATTTAAAAATGGTCTCAATCTTGAAAATCAAATTACAAAGAAGTCTGGAGACCCTTATTCGCCGTTTTTTAGACACCCTGTAGTTAACAAAATGTAGAGGAGATTCATAGCAACTGGGGTATATTTGTGTAGCTAGTGTAGAAATATGCATGCTAAAAAGGGTCCCCAAACAAACCTTATTTTTAAAATTAGTCATGATTTTCGTCCTGTGAAAATTCGTTTATATACATTCTTGAGAGGAGCTACAGTGAACAAATACTGAGATGCCATGTCATGTACTTTAGATAGATTGTGACCATGTGGAAAAAGAGGAGATGACTGGATTTTGCCCAGTTTCATGTCATTGATATAAGTTCTCTATAGTCCAAAGATTAGGAATGGAAATGATATATGTACTACAGGGTAGGGTGTCCCCAGGCACGCAACCAGACATTTTGTTAGGGGGCAAGATGAAAAAATGTGGCGCGAAGCGCAAAAAATTTGTTTTCCCCCTAAACATATTTAGAAAAATGTGCATTATACTCAAACAATAAAAAAAAACTTAAACGCTACCAACCGGATATTCAGTAAGTCAACACATTTGATATGAAATAAAAAAGAAATCTATTCTGGTTAATATAAATCACAATATTAATTATTTTACAATTTACATACATATCCATAAATCAAATATGTACATTGTATTTAGACATTGACATGAAATGCCTTTCATTAAAAAATCATGACTTAAATGAAACATATTTTTTTTATTATGACACATCACACAATATTTGCGGTGAACATGTAGGATTAATTTAATAGCTTTGTACACAGTATTAAAGATTTATCATAATAAGTGGCAGAACAATTATAATGGAAATATCTAAAAATACTTAACAAACCCCCTTTGCCAGGAATTCATGAATCTCTAAATTGCAAAAGAGGGTGGATCTTGCCCCCCCCCCTAGGTGCGCGCCTGGGTGTCCCAATAAACTTGGGAATTAAATGACGACTTCTATAATATTATCTTTTTTACGGGGCCGTATTTCGTTTAAAGTGTAAACACATTATTTTAAAGTACTACAAACATTAACGCTGTAAAGTTCAAGTTGCGGGATTTACAAAAAGTGGTCTATCATTTTTCATAGTCAAAATTGACGAAGCTATTGAGAAAGCTGTCCAGATTCCAGTTTATTATAATTCAACAGAACTGTTAAAATGTTTAATATCCGTGAATATATAATGCAGAGAAATGAAAGACCACATTTTTGAAAAGTTCATAATCTTATCAACTACGTTGAAAACTTACGTACTTACATGTAGTGTAAAAAAACAAGTGAATTAGAGACAACATTCGAATATCGTCTTTGAGATTCGATAGTTAAAAGATGACTCTAAACTCTTAAAGATCCTTGAGACTCTTGAGATCCTCGAGACCGAGGGCAGCTTCCTTTCCTTATCATTAAATGACTTCTGGACAAATGCCGCAATCATTTTATTTTCTTAAAAAGAAATCCTTTGTGTCGAACCTTGACGACGACATTTACAGCGGTAGATGCTCAAACATGTAAACCTGGTGTTCATGTGAACTACAGATGATTCCAAAGCCGAAGATAAAATGAAACACCGAAATAATTTTAACAAGGAGTTCTTCAACAAAATCTATTTACAAAAATAGTTTTGGGTAGAGTTCATTTACGTTTTCTCCGGAGTGTCACAGATTATCAGCTGATCAGGACTTAATCTGAGCATGCGCAGAATTAAACTTTTACTGACAACCGTATTACTCCGCCATACTGTTTCTTTATTTTTATTTAGCTTTACCTAATGATACAACGGGGTACAAATCACCCTTTTTTCTTTTCATTTTTAATTTTCGGCCATGATTAATTGATTCATATATCTCATAATCCTAAAATATAACAGTTAATTAAAAGTGCGTTTAACGCAAGCGTAGGTTGTGCTACGGCAATATTTTATTCTCGCCTGCCATAGATTCACGAAAACACACTGACAACTCTCTAATTTTTTTCATTTCAGACCTTTCGAGTGAACAATCGTTAAACTTTGTGATTTGAATTATGTACAGAATATTTATTGTGAGTTTCTCATAGCGATGGCGGGTGCTCGAAAGTTGCAAGGTAATTAAATAATTGATCCATATTATTATTTTAAGTTTTTACTTTGCCAGGATCTTTAAACAAAATTGAAAACTTAAGATTTTTAATCTATATAAATAATTATTTGTTGCTGATTCACTGTAATTTTATTTTGAGGGTAGGGAGCGCCACCATCTAAAATCTAGCAACGGTTCTAAAATTATTATTTTTTTTTTTTTTTACTGAAGTACGTGGTACCCATAAAGCTGTGGAATATTATTAATACTAAAAGTCATAAGCTACGACTGTTAACAGTGCAAGGATCTTAAAAGAAGTTCACTGAATAACGTGATTCTTGCTGTTTAGGTCAAACTTTGTGCCTGTGTGTACCTATTATTTTTCTTCTTAAAGTTAAGCCATTCTTCTACAGAATCTTCAGATTCAGCTATCAGGATTCGAAAATTTCTCAATATCCTAGTTTTGGACAATCCCCCCCCCTTCTCATACATTTTGAACAACATGAAACTCATATTTAGCACATGGCTATTGTTTGGTGTATAGCGTTGTGCTCCTTAGTCGCGGTATTCGATCCATTAGCCTGTCATAGCCACAGCACTCGGCCCAGAAATTTTCTTATCCCAATCCAACGCTGTATTTATTATTACACAAATATCAATATCATGTTGAAAATAATTTTAATCAAAGGTAAATGGTATATTCCTAGAGAACGATTTTCGGACCCCCCCCAGGCCCCCCCCCCTCCTATCAATTTTGTACATGGATCTTCAGAAAGTGTCTCAACTTAACCTAACCTGTGGCCGCAGCGCTCGGCCCAGAAAGTGTCATAACCTAACCTAACCCTAAATAATATTAGATAAATACTTATTTTTCTTATTTCGTCATGTACAAAATTGATAGGAGGGGGGGGGCCTGGAGGGGCCAAAAATCGTTCACTAGGACAGACTCTGATTAAAAAATGTTGCAGACCCAGGTTTGAACCAAGACATTTTAGTCGTCTTCTTAGATCTAAAATTTTAATTGCTTTATTTCAGCCGAAATCGACAGATGCCTGAAAAAGGTGACGGAAGGTGTTGAAAAATTTGAGGAAACCTGGACAAAAGTCCACAACGCGTCAAATCAGAATCAGAAGGTATTAATGAAATTATTAACGTAACATCTTGTAATTTTTAACGTTCAGTACTACCCTTTGGAATATAGTTAGTACGTTTTTTGTAACGTTACAGGAAAAGTACGAGGAGGATCTCAAGAAGGAGATTAAGAAGCTTCAGGAATTCATTCATACTTTAAACAAATAATTTAATATCCGTCTTAACCCTTCCCCCCTTTATTTTTTCACACGCCTAAAACCTCATTTGCCCTACCACCCTTATCCAAATCATTCCAGAGCAGTGTGAGGGAGAAGCCCCGTGTTTGGAACACTTTTTAATAATGGTGGAATAATCAGGATTATTTAAATATTCAATAATGGCTCCGCCATTAGTTCATATTAAAGAACTTGGGAGGTTTCCTCCTCCACTCAACTTGTTGATTTTCTTTATATTTCTATCAGGAGAATTATCTTCTAAAATTTGTGTGCTTTGGTTGAATTAAACCCATTAAAATTGAATTTTAAACTATCTCAAATATTTAACTACCTGAAGTGCTCGCCGTCACCTGTGGAATTTTTAAAACTGAGGGTTTTCTTATAAAATTTCAGCCAATTCGGTCAAGCTGTTGCTATAGCTAACAAATATAGAGCGAAGAGCATTAATTAGATGATCCATGGAAAAAAAAACGTTTTACCAGTAAATTGATTTTTTTTAATCAAAGGTATCATTGATCGTCAAAACCACATCAATCAGTAGTTATTTGCGCTATACTTTGTCTGATCAGCTTTTTGAGTCAAAATAAATTAACCACTTTCTTAGCCTTGACCCGGCGCACAAGATAACTGGTTGAACCGATGATACGTGGTTGAACTATTTATCGCTGTTCATTAAATCTGGTCCCTACACAAATGTTAATCCTCAATCAAATTATTTCTTTCACTTTGAGAAGATATTCTTGCATACATATTGCTTAAGCAAATTTTAATTTTTGAAATTTTCTAAAAGCATATTTACCCCTGCATCAGATTATTGATATTAGAAGAGAGTTTTGTATGAATGATCTATGTTGTATAGAGATTACGAGATCAGATAAAATCATGGCTAACCTCAGGAGAAATCAAGGACAAGACGATTCTCTTGGAGAACAGGAAACTAATAGAAACGGTAAAAAACCTCTAAAAATAAATGAGCCTGTCCCCCGCCCCATGTTTTATTTCCCTCTTTTAAATGTGTTCTGTGATCATGTAATTTTTATTTTGGGTCTGTCCTAGTGAACGACTTTTAGACCCCGCCCCCAGGCACCCCCCCTCCTATCAATTTTGTACATGACGAAATTAATAGATTAGTATTTATTTAGTATTATTTAGGGTTAGGTTAGGTTAAGACACTTTCTGGGCCGAGCGCTGCGGCTAGGACATTCTAGGGGGCCGAGAATGTACATACACTTAACTCTCTTTTTTTAAAGAAAAAGTACAGATATAATAAAATAGAAATTCAAAAAATATCATTTCTGACATTTTTTTCAGCAAATGGAGAGGTTCAAAGTAGTGGAGCGCGAGACGAAAACGAAAGCGTACAGCAAAGAAGGATTAACGGCGTCAATGCGTCTGGATCCTGCAGAACGAGAACGAGCTGAAGTAATTCAGTGGCTCAACTCCTGTATAGAAACCCTAAACATCCAGGTACAATATCAGGGTTAAGTGTACACAAAGATGTTCGGTTAGTTTTACAAATTTATATACTCAGACTGTTAACTTTTTCACTAATTTGTCTTTACTGAAGATCTAAAATTTAGATATATAAAATTTAAATAGTGAAAGGAAAACAAAAACTAAATTATGATAACGAGACAAATATTCCATGCTACTGTGTGTACTGTATAAGCTAGTTCAGTAGCTGCCCCCCCCCCCCATCCTGGCTAAAATCCTGTGTACGCGCCTGAGCTAGTTCCGTTCTGTTTCCTTTCATGTATAGTTAAATTAAATTTTTATGAACATGTTCGGCTCGGACAAAATACGCAGATAATAGCTAAGGAACCTTGTATTTTCTGCATGCCAATGTCTCTTAGTCGTATACATTTTGTTGCTCATTTTTCTTAAATTCTGTTTTGTCCCAAAATTTGGGATATAGAGTAGTGCAGGATCCATTTTAATATGTAACACAACTTAAAAATATTAATTTCCTGTTCAAATGATGATGGATAACGTTGCGAAGTAAAATAAATCCCGGGATTCTTTCTTCTTTTGTGTGGAATAAAGTTTTTAAATGTATGATAATTTTTAACTGTAAACTTGGTAATTATTGCCCCAAAACTAATCCGTTTGATTATTACTTAAAGCTTGCAATATTTTAACCTTGTAACGTACACTGTTATTATTCTAAAGTTAACATTTAATAAGGCACGTGTGTTAAATAATGTAACTTTATTCTCGTATCAATTTTAAACCTTATTTCGTCCTAATAGATTTTTACTTGAGATGTATTTTTTTAATTGGAAAAAGTCTGACACTCCTTTAAATTTAAATCCGACAATAAGATTTATTAATTATATTTACCGTATGACCTAGATATTATTGACAAGATAATTAGTTAAAAATAATGCCTCATGCAAGTAGGCCTTAATTTAACAGGTGCGCATTGAACTCTGAACTCTGACCCACTCGTTATTTAAGCTTAATTATGATTGACGACATTGTTCTGCAATTTCCTTGACTGTAGTCATGTTGTGAGTCTGTACCAAAAGAGTGTGCGTGTGTAATACCGAACTCTTCTGCAAAGCATTGCGACTGGCTTTCTCATGCCAGACCAGCGACATTTCCTCTCCCTTTATTCCTATTCCCTGCTTGGATCCGTATCTAGGAAGCAAAAATGTTGTGGATTGCCTGCATATTAATTAAATAGCGAACCAAGCACAATTCAGATTTTATTATTTCTTTTCATGATAGAAATGCTCCAGTTCTAGGGGAATTATGTTATATATAATCGATTTTTTTTGCTGTTGAATCTTTTCTTATAATAAAACGTTCTTTATCAAGGGGTGGACTTTGAAAATAGTTATTTCCCCTGTAGATATATTTAGGATGACACACGAAAGGGGTTATAAACATTTTTTTGGTGTATAGGTTCTATGGTTTATTATGAATTTTGTAAAAAATTTAAATTGATCGGAGTATTGTATTAGGTGCAAGTTGTTTTTGGCGAAACCTTGGTTTTTAATGAAGGTTAATGACCTCATATCCCACATTTTCTGTGAGATCTGTGTCGAGGGCTACAATTAAAGAAAGGCTGCATGCAAAAGTTCGATTTTCAATCTCAATTTTTATAACCATGGCCCCTTATCCTTTGAATATTTGTTGAATTTAAACAACAAATTATTGAATTAATTAATCTTATTCTACAGGTTGATCAATTTGAAGCTGAGATAGAATCCTTGAATTGTGGAGGAAAGAGGAAAAAAGGAAGAAATGAGGATAATGCAAGACTGGAAGAATGTCAGGTAAATAGAGTTATGTGTGGGGGGGGACTGACCGCCCATTTATTGAGGGAATGTCCTATTCACAACAGTACTTTTAAAACCTACATTTGATTAAATATGGTGAAGATGTCGTTTCTTAGTTTTACATGTTAAATTATTTGTTTTTAGCTTAAAGTGTTTTATTCTGACTGGATTATTGGATTACTGGATTTTTTTTCGCTGGAAGATCACTTTTGTGACATTTTCAGCGAGTCAATATATCTTTTTTGTTTCCACTGATAGTGCATTGTAGAAATCCACAAGACTGAAGATTCAAAGAGAAGAATGTGGATATCTCATTCATTTTTTATCAAACAAAGCTGTCAATGCTACTGTTGTTAATCGGACATTCCACGTTAAAAATTGAGACACTAGTAATGAATTCTCTTCAAGTTAATAATTTTCAATTATTTGCGGCAGATTTTCCTTCCCCTTTGCGTTCATGATTGAAATATGAGAATATTTGGCTTCTTGAGATATCTTCCCCTTCATAGATTGCTTCTTTTCTTAAAGGAACTGTCGTTGCCATTTCAAATGCACGACATTAGGGGCATGTCTGATTTACAACGGTTCCCTTTTTCTGAGCGATAACGCCGAAGATGTAGTTTTTGTGTCTAAAAATTGTTCTTTCTCTGATTTGAAGGATTGCAGAGGACAAAGAGAAAAAAATTGACAAAGATAATTTCTTCTTCCCATTGAAAAATTACGATATTTCTCTAATGGTTGCTCATATTGGACGTTCAAGTGTTTACAGGGGCGTACTGAAGGTTTAGCCAAGAGGGGTGATCTTTTAGCGCGTCATGAGTTTTTTTTTGTCTCACGTACCAGCGTTTGATGTTCACCCCTTGAAAAACGTACTACGAAAAAAAATACCTAAAAAATATTAAGAGTTTGAGAAATTATCTGAATGGACAAATTGTCCGTTAATAAGAAAGGGAATGCCAAAAAAATAATGATATATTAGGCCGGGGTGGCCTGGGGGGGTACCCGGTACACAGGCCCTCCCCCAGTACGCCTTTGACCGTTTAAAATTGTGCGTATCCTCTGCCCCTCTTTAGATGAAATGTCATTTAAAATTACGTCTACAGTCTCTTCAGATAAACAAATTAAATATTTGGTATAGAAGTCTATCCTCGATTTTTTTCTTATTCTTCAGGGGGAGCGAGGGAACTCATGCGGCAATAAGCGACAAAAATTTTCCCTTTCATGCTACATTTTAGCTTTTTTGTCTTTTGGCAGCCATGAGCCACAACCTTACAGTCTTCCATGCTACGACATTTGAGTCTTCCGACAATTATTACGATTTCATGGCTCAGTGCATGAAATTGTGATTTTCAAAAATCTAGCGACGTCATGCAAAAGAGATATATTAAAAAATTTATTTTCGTTTTAAATTAAAATAATAATGAGTCAGGTAAATATAAACTGCCAACTTATTTTTCCCCAAAATATAATAAAAACTTTTCTCCAAAACGGCTTATTTTTGAAAAAATTATGAACTAAAAAAAAAATTATCATACTCTTCAAGTTCAACTGAAAATTTCCACTATTTTTCGAGAAAGTTTCAAAATATAATGTTTTTTGGAGGAAATCTGCAACCTTCAGGTTATTTAGAATACCCCAAACTATTTGCCTCAGTGCCCAAAATGTGTAAAATGATAAAAAAAATTTCTTTGTAAAATGTAAAGCAGTTTTTTAACTAAACACACAATTCTTTGATCTTTAATAAACTTCTACAATTTCTTAAAGGTATGATTTTGCACGTAATGCGTCTGGATTTTTAGAATTACTATTTTAACGCATTAAATTTATCTTCTAAATACACAATAATTGCTGGAAGGCTCAAATGTTATGACATGGATGACCGTGCTACGGTTGTGGCTAATGGCTGCCGGAAGACAAAAAGCCAATATGTGCAATGGAAGGAGAAGGCCGCCTGCCTTCCCCCGGTCTCAGGGGAGGGGAGCAGGAGTTGGTTTATTAAAACTTTATGCAATGGTATGTCATATAATTGCACTAAAATATGCTTATTGCGAAAGAGGACTCCGTGATTGCAATAATGTTAAAATTTATTAGAGAATATATGTGGGTTAAGTGTGCTGAAATTAAAAGATTAAAAATCCCCTTGTATACCCTTGTTTGATATTGTAAAGTGTACTTCAGAAACAAATTAAATAAATGTTTAAGATGTGGGTTGAGAAACATCGAGACCATATTCAGAAGCTGGAAACCCTGCTCAGGATGCTGGATAATACCCAGGTAAAACTACAGGGATATATATTTCCTTGACCCCTCCCCCCTCTCCCTCCATTTTCCTCTCAGGGGAAATCTTTTTTGGGGGTGTTATATCGCTAAATTGTTGGGGAAAATGAAGGTTTGGATAAACAATTTATTTAAATATGGATACGTGTGTGTTCAAATTTTTAAACCGAAGGTCAATTTTTCAATCCGAGGTTCAAATTTTCAAGCTGAAGTTGAATTTTTTTAGCCGAAGTTTATTTTTTTCAAGCCAAAACCTGTTAAATAAAAAAAATTGAATTTTGAAAAAAAAATCGAATTTGAATAACAATGTTATTACCCCCAGAGTAACTGTGTTTTTCAAAAAAAAACCAAGTCTTCCTAGCCGTTTGGCCAGCCATAGCTAACATATATATATACACACACAGTTATACATACATATCTGTTTTTTTGATTGAATAATAAATTGATAACAAATATAAATATGAATATTAGCGAAGAGCTTTATTATAATGAATATATATGAAAAAAATGCATATTAACCAGGTTGAATCTGGTGTGATACGGGATATTAAGGAGGACATCAACGACTATATAGAGAACAGTCAGGAGCCAGATTTCGTGGAGAACGAGTATATTTACGACGATATCGAGGGACTAGAGGAAATGCTGTTAGACGTAAGTAATCTTGATGTAAGTAAACATTTATATAAAGAATATTAAACCCAAGAATCAGAACGAACGGAGTATGCCAATATATATGAAGTAAGCAACCCTATGCAATATTAACAAGCTTCTAATTTATTGAATCCTTAAATTCAAATTTTCACAATTTAGATCTTGAGATCAAAGATATATTTTTTAATCAAAGCATAGGAGTGGAATACAAATTATCTTGCACGAATCCTGAAATTAAAACTTTCACATAAATAAACAATGTTCTCCTTTTTTTAAAATCGCAACTTAGATTTTGAGGTCATAAATGTGTACGTAACTTTTGAACATATGATAGGAATGTAACATTATCAAGCACTAAAGCCCTGTGACCAGCATTAACACGGCGCTGATAGTTATCAGGTTGTTATCATTCATAAATAAAATGTCTATGGTTAATTTAAACTTGCGCTAAAAGGTCCTCGAGGCTGGAGTTTACGATACCATGGCGTAGTGAGTAGCGTGCGATATAGAAATTAACATCTTGCTTACCGAGGGTTATGATTCTTCGGTTTAATATTCTTTGCTCTTTACTATCAATTAAAAACGGCATCGGATGAATGCACAGGTATGTACTGAGAAAATTTTTAACGAGTTTTTTAGAAATCTGATCTCAGCATAAAATTTCAAAGATTTGGGATAAAAACAATCATATGACCGTAATTTGCAAGCTTTCTGAACTCAGAAATATTTCTTCAGTTTAAGAATTGGCGGTTTTTTAAAATTTACTATGTAGTCCATTTTTTTAGCCAGGAGACTATCATTGTGATTTCGAGTTATCCACCATTTGAAGGGACATGTCCGATTCACAACTGTACCTTTGAACCCAGGGTGGAAGATAACGTCGTTTTCTAGATTGAAAAATGTTTGATTCTTTTAATTCTTGAATTGTTGTCCTACAGCTGAAATGCGTTCAAGTTATTTTTGTACACAAGCGAATTTTAAAGAAAAAAATTGAGTATAAATTTGGAAATGTAAGGGTTTTGTTTTAATCGGACATACCATTCTTTAATTATTGGGTAGACTTAAAACTACGTAAACAGCCCCATTAAAGCTAGGAACCTAGGGTTCCATTGTCTGCGCGTTTTGATTAAATTGTTTGTTTAGATTGGTGCCCCTGAGCATACCTCTGTTGATGCTAGTGAGACAGCTAGCTCTACAAACTCAGTGTCAGGGAACTCACCTATTCTAGGACAGCCAGTTTACTCCAACCATAATCATTCCAGGTATACAGGGGTAGATATATTCAAGAATATATTCCAGGTATACAGGGGTAGATATATTCAATAATACATTCCAGGTATACAGGGGTAGATATATTCAAGAATACATTCCAGGTATACAGGGGTAGATATATTCAAGAATACATTCCAAGTATACAGGGGTAGATATATTCAAGAATACATTCCAGGTATTAAGTGGATTTCAAGGATTTGGCGGGAGAAATGAGAAAATTGACACCAACTGGCAAGCTTTTTGCCCTGGTTGGATTCATATACCCGAAATTAATTTATTTTTTATATCGAATATTGTTTTATTCTAATAATATTTTTTCTGAATCCTTATTTCTTATCTGTATACCGCACTTTCCGCTCAAAGAACGGTAGTAAACAAGATAATGTACAGTAACGCGGTAAAGCCTGTCTATGCTGTGTTTGGTATTGGGAGAAAAAACAAAAATATAATATAATAAATCTATGAATATTCCCGATAAAGAGAAAAACCATTTACCCACCCCCTCTTTTGAAAATAATTCAGACGTTCTATGTTTGCGTGGAGCGTCAAAAGATTGATTTTATGAGTAAAATAAATAAATTTTTGGGTAAAAAGTATTAAAAAGAATTTTTTAAAAATCCTTTTGATGTGGGCTGCGTTGGGTTGACCGGGGGAGGGGGTTGATTCGGAAAATATACACCCCTGCCCACCAGTGTTATTTATTTTCATAAATTCAGTAACAAATGATTTCAATCAAGACTTTTATGGTAAACTGGAAAATGGGGAGGGGATGATTTTCGAGAAAATATATTCCTTTATAATTTTTTTTATTTCAGTGATACAGTGTCTGGGCTGGGTATGGCCCCGGAGGAGTTAAAACGAAGACATCGAAGCTCGCAGAGTGATGACAGCAAATCTAGTAAGAAGGGAGGATCTACAGTTCTTCCTCCTTCCTCACCCCTTCCTACGCAGGTATATACTCCTTCTTCATCCCTTCCTACTCAGGTATTCACTCCTCATTCACCCCTTTCACACAGGTCTACAATCCTTCCTCCTCTCTTCCTACACAGGTATATACTCCTTCCTCGCCCCTTCCTACACAGGTATATACTCCTTCCTCGCCCCTTCCTACACAGGTATACACTCCTTCCTCGCCCCTTCCTACACAGGTATACACTCCTTACTCACCCCTTCCTACACAGGACTACACTCCTTCCTCATCCCTTCCTACACAGGTATATACTCCTTCCTCGCCCCTTTCTACACAGATATACACTCCTTCCTCATCCCTTCCTACACAGGTATATACTCCTTCCTCACCCCTTCCTACACAGGTAAACACTCCTTTCTCACCTTGTCCTACACAGGTATATACTCCTTCCTCAGTCCTACACCTCCCTACATTTCCTCAAAATATTTGTTTCTCAAAATTAGAGTTAAGAATCCAGATCCTCATCTGAATTCTGTTGCATAGGACGGCTCTAGAAACTGGATCCTTAGTATTAAACTCAAAACTGATAGAAATATAATTCTTATTGTTCAGGGCAATAAGGTGTCTAGTACGCCGATTAAGTCATCATCTCAGAACATGTTTTCTCTCAGGTTAATATTTTATTTTATACTAGGCTCTCAGTTTTTATTTTTTTAAACATTTCTTCCTGTATACATTATAAAATATTAACAAAAAAGTTCACGGATTTACAATATGTTTTTCGTAAATTTTTCAAAATTTTACGGGAAAAAATTGACAAATTTTTCCTGGGTCAAGTAAGGTCCAACCACAAAATGTGGGCTCAATCGGTCCAGTCGTTTTGAGGTTTATAGGATACAAACAAACAGAGTGGATATATTCAATGATAGTTGAACTAAGGAGAATAGGAATGGGCTTCTCTGTCGTATTTCAGTTTTGTGTACACAATGCTCGGTATTGTAAGCAGTTGGGGAGCTGAGCAATTACTGTTAACAGTTGTAAATTGTCATAAATAATAATAATATCTGTCTGTTTGTTTGTATGTCCTATGATAACTCGATAGAACCATGGGAAGGTTCTTAGCTTGGGTTAAATTTAAAATTGGGTTGATTGACTCTGGACTCTTTAGCTAGTTTGGATATTGTAAATAAATTATATGATTGTAAATTGTATGATTCCGGAAAACAGATGAATCGGTAAAAATGGCTTGTTGTCTACTGTTTAAATTACTGAATAAAGCTTATTGGAGTATGAAATAAATAAATGTTTATGTGGGAAATTAGATTTTTCATTTTCACCACAAACTCCCATTCCTCCCTTTCCCCCTTCTAAAAAGTTTTTTTTCGGCAATAATAATTGTATTCCAATAATAAATAAATATCATCATACCCTCATCAGTCATCATATCATTATTTGGTGGTGTATTTTTCAACTTACGCAAATACGCTATACTCCACTTCTGACCTACGCCAAATCTGCTATACTACACATCCGACCTGCTAGCTCGTGGTTTTACAGCTGCTATATGGACTTATGACCGCAGCACCCGGCCCCCTAACCTGTCCTAGGCGCGGCGCTCGGCCCCCTAGCCTCAGCGCTCGGCCCAGAAATTGTCTTAACCTAACCTAACCCTCAAATAGTACACAAATAAACGGCTGGCGTATGTCCAATATTGCAGTAGGTCGGATAGTTAGTAGGTCAGAAGTTCAGTAGAGGGGATATTGCGTATAGACGATGTAACATTACCCCTTTTATCATATTTAAGTACAAATGTACATGGATGTAAACAAAAAACATCCTCTACTGGCTCTTTCCGAGCATATAAATATTTCAATTTGCATAATAATATTAGATTAGATTTTAATTCACATCAGGGGGGTATATTTTCCTAAAAAATATTCCCTTCCCCCCCCCCCCCTTTAGAAAATCATTTATTTTCCCCAAAAGTTTAATGTATATGGTTGTGCGGTCCCGAAACTGACGTCATTTTGTATTCGTTGCTGCGCCGCCGGGTAGGTGTAATCATGAAAAATATAATCCCCTGGTTCACATGAAACATTTATTTTTAGTCAGTACTTACAAAGTTTGATCACGTTTTAATTTCTTTTAATTTATGCATCGATTTGAATTATTTCCTTATGTAAGATGGTAAATGTAGAGAATTAATTGTCGTAATTCGTCAGCCTACAAAAAAAAACTTATTCTGAAGATATTTTAATTTTTAGTCAATCTCCGAACAACACGAGTCCGAGCTCAGGATTGCAAGGTGTAACACAGTCTCATGCCCTCAACCCATCCTTAGCCTCGTATCCAAACTATCTACGACGTAGCCAACCCAACCTAACCAACCCTAGTGGGCAGATAATACCCAACTTTGCTGCTGTTACCGCTCAACACAATGGTAAGATTTGCTATAGATTTAATGGAACAGGGATGGTGTGCCGGATTCACAATGGTATCATATAAAACTGTGCCTGGACAAGAATTAATGAGATATTTAAGTTTTTCTCTTGGAAAATTGATTATTTTCCAGTTTTAAAGAGTAATGTTGTGAATCAGAAATTCCCATTATTGGGTAGAAGGCAAGGAGTATGAAATATAATGGAGAAGGGATCGACCCGGCCCGCCAATGATTATACATGCTTTGCAGGCGGTACTGCATTTGAATAAGAAATATGCTTTCCATGACTGTCTGGTGTACAAATAACGGGTACATGTATTCAGAATATGTTATTATATACATTACACAGGGATAAAAGTAGGCGGAATAAAACGCCAAACAAACATATTTAATTGAAATATCATCTTAAAATACAATCTTAAATCGTCTTAAAATTTCATCTTAAAAACCATCTTAAAATATTATCCGAATATATTATCTTGAATTATCTTGAAATATCCTCTTAAAATATAATCTGAATAAAATATAATTTTGATAAAATAGGTCTTAAAAAATATCATCTTGAAATATCATCTTGAAATATCATCTTGAAATATCACCTTGAAATATAATCTTGAAATATCATCTTGATAAATCACCTTAAATATGATCTTGAATCTTAAAATATATTTCTGATTGTCAGGTCATCCTGCATGCTCCGCCCCCCTAGACACCCAGGAGGCAGAAATATCTACTCCGCCCCCAGACCGGCCTGCACCACATAGTCCTACGGGGAGTGGGCGGAGCGTGGAATTGGGCGGAGCTCCCGGGCTACCAGCACCTGGCTCCTATCCTCACCCGTCGCAAGGTGACTTAACTTTTTTATTAAAGTAAATTTCTTTTATTCTCAGCTTTATTTCTTCATAAGTTGAATTTAACCCTTTTTTTAACGTTAAAAGGAAATCCAAAAAAGTCGATATGTACAATGAGCGTGGATGCAGTTTTACTTAATTTGGATAAGCAGTTGTTTTCTGATTGAATTTAGGATTGATTTCAGAACAGTATAAAAATATTTCTGAGTTGATGAAAGATTGATTGATTGATTAATAATCCAGGTGTACGGGATGTACCTAGTTCTCAGTTCAATGGCGGAACATTACACAATTTACAAACTTCCAAAGTGAGTTCGGATTTATTCATTTAATTCATTTCATTCCAACATTTTTCAGGGGCGTATAATTTTAAGACTTAACCCACCCCGGACCCGGGGGGGGGGGATTCATGATAAATGTGGGGTAAAATGAAAAAATTGGACATTTTAAGATAAGTTTTTTCATTCTATTTATTATCCCATAAGTCAATTATTTTCTCCAATTCGACAAAGAAAGTACTAAAAATAAATTGTCGCTCCGCGTAAACATACATAGGTTCTTGGGAAAATGAATGATTTTCAAAAACGTGAGAACGATTTTTATAGAAAATATTCACACTGGACTTGTAACAAATGATCTTGTCTGGTTTTAATTAAGTTTAGTAGTCGATCAATATTATTATTATTATTGTTGTTGTTTAAAATCAAACAACAAAAATCTACCCCCTTAACTTAACTTTCAATCATTATTTTATTTAGGAATTGCCAGAATCCTTATCCTCCCTTAAATCTCTTGCGCAGCAAGCTCTCTCAAGTGGAAGTTTAATTGCTGACAGCAATAGCAGTCAATCAGGTTAGTTGCTGACACTTGACAGGCGTAGTTATCAATCAGGTTAGTTGCTGACACTTGACAGGCGTAGTTATCAATCAGGTTAGTTGCTGACACTTGACAGGCGTAGTTATCAATCAGGTTGGGTGCTGACACTGGACAGCAGTAATGATTAGTTGATTGCTTAAATTTGACTGCAGTTAAAAATGATTTGTTTGCTGACGCATGCAGTCATGATTAGTTTAATTGCTGACACTTGAGTCTTGACAGCAGTATAGATACATTTAATTGCCGACACCTGACAACGGTAAAGGTATGTTTAATTGCTAACACTTGACAGCGGTAATTATTAGATTTAAATGTTGACACATGATACTGACACCTGATTGCATCTTTTTTAGTAGAGGTGTAACTAATTAATTTATTAATATTTTCAATATTGACATTCATTTGCCATAACAGGTTAATTAATAACAAATTCAGGTCATCTTGGATTGATTGGTGGGTTTGGTGTGCTAGATGAGATTGGCAGATCTGGATTAAAAACTGAGGCTCATATACCGCCTCTACTGGGGGTAGCGCCACTTGGTCCAGTTCCTCTTAACAAGGATCATCAATTTCAGTACAAGTAAGATTTGAATATAGGACTCTTTTTTTCTTCTTCAAACTTTTATTGAGAAAAACAGAACGTAAATATCTTTATATAAAAAAGTAATCACAGAGTTAACGAGTGGCTTTTCGCTATATACTCTCTACTTGCTCAGGAATGTATAAAATTGAGATCTTAAGTATCGACAGCTCCGTTATGAAAGACATAGTATTGAGCAGCAATCTTGACACAAAAATTGGACTTTGTAAAGTCTTTTTTTCTAATTTCTATTTCCACTAATTTGTTTTTTAATCTTTTATTTAATCTGTTAATTAATCTCAGGGGTGTATATTTTCTCGAGAAATCATTTCTCGCCCCCCCCCCTTATGAAACGTTTTTATCCTCCAGAAGTTGTATATGCTTTTTTATTAGAGCTTTACTTGCTAAATTGAGGATATAAATTTATTTTTTGGTAAAAAGTTTTTTTTTAAATAAAAAAAGTAGTCTTTTGGTGTCAAATTTTTATTCTTTATCCTAAAATCATCTAAAATCAATTCTTAAAATGTACAGTGTACAGTGTACAGTGTACAGTGTACACCCCCGTTTCATCTTCGATATTACCTTCCAATTTGATCTCTAATTTGCTATTGCCAATTTGTTAGTGGCAAATTCGGTTTTTATTGAACAAATATTGAAAGTTGTCGGTATTTTCTACCAACAAATTCAAAACCTATTGGATAAAATACCTCTAAATTCTGGTTAACTCTATTCTGTTGTATTATAGTATGCTAGAGGCAGCTTGTCACCATCTCCCACATCCTTCGGACAGTGAGAGATTAAGACCTTATCTACCCAGGACACCTGTTAATACACCTTCACATTATCCACAGGTTCGGTTTAAAACTTACTTCCAGGGTTATATATTTGGTTCAAAAATATTTGGTTTATCCGAGTATTTAGATTTTCCAAGCGGAGCAAAATTAACGTAGTTCTTAAATTCTGTACCTGCTCCGATGCGTTTTTGTTAATTTTTTCAAGGTGGAATTCATTAAAATATATATTTTGTTCTTGCCTTTGTTACTGTTTGTTACAGTGATCCGAATCCGGAATATTTTGGTCTCCTGGATCCGGATCATCTCCGAAATAGACGAACAAAGCTTCTCTGTCCTTACCTCTCAAATATTAAGGGTTAACTGATCAAAATATCGGAAAAACAAGTTTTAGCAAAAAAGGCTATGAAGACAAATAAACGGGAAATGCGCTAGAATGAATGATATACGTCCTGTATCCGTAAAATAAATATTTTATTGGGGAAAATGAAAAAAAAAATTGGAAAATCGCGTTTTACAATTGTTTCACACAAAGCTTAAAAGACAATTTCCTGTTGTCTAAATCTACTTACTAGCATAATGTTTACGTTTTATTTATTTATTTATTTATTATTTAAATGTTTAGGCCCCGCCCCCCGGCATTGATACGATAGACTTTTTCACGAGATTGTCTACGGAAACCTTGTTCTTTATCTTCTACTATATGGAGGGGACGAAAGCGCAGTATCTGGCAGCAAAGGTAACCAAAAAATTTGAACCTTTATTTCTTAAGATTTTTGTGAAAATAAATTAAGTTCGAATGATTCACGATCACGGTTAAAGGAAAAAAAATAATATTTTAATGTTTTTAGGCCTTAAAAAAGCAATCTTGGAGGTTCCACACGAAGTACATGATGTGGTTTCAGAGACATGAGGAGCCCAAGATCATTAACGATGAATATGAGCAGGTCTAAAACTGTTCTATGGTTGGCCAAATATAAATTTTGTTGTTGGACAGAAGGCAATTAATCGTAAAAATGAGGGAAATTTAAAGGTTATGAAAATGGGAGAATTTAACTCGTCAGTCCACCCAGATATTTTAACTTATTTTTCCTGACAGGGAACCTATATCTACTTTGATTACGAGAAGTGGGGACAGCGGAAAAAGGTAATGATATTTCTTATTATGGGTATCAATATATCAGTTTATTTATAACATTGTGCATTTTCTTGATCATTTCAGCAGTCACCCCCTCAAAATAAATGTGAGAAAACATAAACAGTGAAAGAAAACCGCCAAAAAAGACTGTAATAGATTTATTTTTTAAAGAAATTTTTTATTTTCTTTTCAAGATGGTGGTATGGATTTAATATATTTTGATGCGGATCTGGATTGTCAAGATACAATTTTTAAGTCGAAACTTGGTTTTCCCCTCTCTACACATTGTGGAAGGAAAAGGGGTTCAAAGATTTATGGAAAAAAATTGAACATCGACTGGCAAGACACCCCCCCCCCTTTTCCTCACCATTTTACTAATAGAACAATTATAATTTGAACTTGTTCAGTAATCATTTTTTATTTCAGGAGGGGTTCACTTTCGAGTACAGGTTTCTAGAGGACCGGGATCTCAACTGACGCAAATACGCAGTTGACGCTGCTCATTTCACGCAGGTTATGCTGTGTGTTTGACGCAGTTTGAACTGACCGGCGTAACTGCCAGCATTTCATAACACAGTGACGCATCTCATTACGCAATTCTCTGCGTCACCGCGGCCGTGATATGTGTTAACTACAGCGGAATTCCCATATAAATATTCCTGTATTAACAAGTATCAGGATTGTGTTCCGTGCCCTGAAAATAGGTTCTTCCACACTGCCCGTGTTCAGTAAACCCCTTCAAGTCTCATCTCATCATCTTCAACAGTTCATAGAGTACATTCAGTACAAAACCAGTTTCACCGACATCTTGGAACCGACTCTAGAAGAAGAACAAGTGATTAATCTCCGAATGGATTTTTTGGGCGAGTCAGGCATCTCACAACAACATGATTTTTAGCCTTCCTTCTCCTCTCTTCTCATTTTATCCAAACTCAACAGTTCCTGGAGAGATTTTTATCTAATTTTCTGCCATTTTTTTAATATCCAACCTCAAAACACGTCTTTCCGACATTTTTGTTTCTATTTCGAAATCCAGATGGGTTGAAGCCCTTTCAGTATTAAGAGGTTTCGTTTTAACTGTTGCTCGGCAGGATTTATGCAGATCTTTCTTCTTAATTTTGATAATTCCTGCTGTGCTTCCTAAATCTGTTGGTTGAATTCATAATTACTATGTATAAAAAAACAATGTGATAATTACTTCCCCATGATTATGATCCAGAGGCTCAAAAAAAGGATTAACCCTGTTCCCGCCTAATTATAATTATTTTAAATAATATTTAAGAAAACACCTTTTTCTGAGCTTAGTCGGAGGATTTTGATATTGTTCTACTTGGCTGTGGAGTTTGGACGGTGTTACACCGTACCTTGCTCATTTTCCCGGACTTGATACAACCTTGCCCCCCCCCCCTCCATTTTTTACAATATGTGTTTGTGAAGAATATATTGCTTTTGTTACTTAAGCATTTTCCCTGTCCCCAAACTTGTGATTTATCATAACCAGTACTTATTTCTGCCGCCAGGGGCTCCAAGGTTGTTTGTTTACGTTTAGACCCGGTTTCTGATTACCAATATAACCGAGTTTTACTTGTAGTTGTATTGCTAATCAAACCCGGTTCCGTACTGCAAGTACAAATGCGAGAGATCGCGCACGTGAAGCATTTTAATCTCTCGCTGCTGGAGAGGGTAGGGACAAGGGAATTAAGATATTCCAGGTTTTATTGGGACATCTCCCCCCTCTCCCCCTCCGGCTGCAGTCCTTCTCCCCTCCTCTCACTCATTAATATAGAATTTTTTATATGGGAATAAAGTCTGTGTATGCATATTTTACTTAAGGTTTTATTATTCCTTTATTAGGCGAGACCTTACAGAAAATATTATTAAGAGATTTGAAGATAATCGGTTTAAACTACCAAATGTAAAATTTAAGGCCCCGTTTAAAATACTGACAAGACTACCGAAACTAGAGCGCAAGGAATGATGCAAGATAAATTATTCACCCTGTCGGAGAGTAATCTACAGGTAGAAGAAAGTTGAATTTGGGTGCGGGTGTATTTTAGACTACTTACGAATTAGTGCTGAGTGTATTAATGACTATGGGAAATACGGGACTACTTATTAATCGTCCCACACATTATTAATTTTGATGTATTTTTGAAACACCAAAAATTCATGTTACGGGATTTCTTAACTGTGGTATACAATTGATACACCTTCGAAATTTACGGGGGTTATATTAAGAAGTTTGTCCATTTAATCTTTCTTAGTCAATTATCGAAAATCAAAGACGATTTTTAAGTCTTCTCTTAATTCCCATGTTTGTTGGAACACCCTGAATGCTGAAGGACTTCTAATGTTATTCTAGAGTGACCCTCCACTTGGCCTGCTGAGTCTCATCAGTATCCTTAAATGGGTGGTCTTCATCTCAAGATTGCACAAGATTTCCAATTCTTCTTTGTAAAAATTGATTATTTTTAATTGTAGTTTCTCTTCAACGTCAAAAAGATAATTTTGAAAGGATAAAAACTTTCAGGGTGAAAGAAAGGACTGGGTAATCATAGTATAATAAGGTTACCGTGTTGGATAAGGCATGCCCTCTTTTATACGCTTACACTCCCTGTAAGTGGGTTATTCTCGAAACTGTATGAACTAAAGAATTCACAAGTCAAGCAAATGATGCTATATCGATTGGACTAACTTACAATTGCACGAAAGTCAGTTGTTCACAAACCAGTTTTAGTCATTTGAACACTCATACATGTGAACAAAGTAGAAATTAATTATTATTAAATAAACCTTTATTAAAATAAAAAACATTAAACACATTATTGGCATCGATATTTGAGGAATTTGTGGCCGCAGCGCCACATTTTTTTCTGTAAAAATACATAGACCTAAATAAAGGGTAATTTTTAAAAAAGAAAGTAGTTCAATTGATAAAATATTTGTTGAAAAGGATTAATCCTTTTAAACGTTAGTCCAATTGATATGATATGACACCGAATAAATGTTCAGAAATCTTTTTGCAAAGGTTTAAGGAGTCCACGGATTAGATTTCAACCAACAAGGTGGTGCGATCGTTGAAAAGGAAAACTGTTGAAAACGTCAACAAGAATTTTTTCATTTTCTAAATTAGTACTCCGCATTAATTTCACCGGGTTTCTGATTGAATAATAACAGTTAAGGTGAAACCAATTTTCCTTTCAAAAAAGTTTGAAATTAAGTATATAGTGCTAACCAGAAAACTGGAGGAGAAAGACGACATGAAAGCAATACTCAAGTTTATTTTATGATGGTTATCACTCTAGGGAGGGGAGGAAGACCAGCCACAACAATTTCTAGTCCGAGCCACATTCTCCTCATTTTCTCGTCCGAGCCACCTCAAAATCCTCGTCCTTCGAATATTATCTTTTTAAAGTGTTCAATCCTCCAAGATAAAACAATTTGTTTAAGAATCGGTTTCACGTTAGAGTATTAACGAAATATCAAATTTTTGTAAATCAAATAAAATACTTTCAATGGAATTAAAGCTTTTGAGTGCAATGTCCTGAAAAATATTCACATTTTTAACGCGCATTTTCATATATTCCTGGTATAAAATGCCGCAAATAATTCCAAGTTTATAGAATTTTAATCTTTTTTGTTAATTATATTGAAAACCACAGTTATTTCTTGGGTGGTTCCATGAGGAAAATCATAGGCAGATCAGGTATGCCAAATATTTTGCTATTCATTTTGTATCACGCAGGTTTTTAAAAAACCTTTATCTTCAAGAATTAGAAACTTCCAAACACATAATGCGCAAAGGACGAGGATTTCGAGGTGGCTCGGACGAGAAAATAAGGAGAATGTGGCTCGGACGAGAAATTGTTGTGGCTGACCTTCCTCTCCTCCTCTAGAGCAAGTTTCTATTTGAGAAAATATGTTCTAAAGATATCATACTGTAAAATTCTAAAAAACTCGAGAATAATGTAAACTGATTCATGACTTTAAAGTCTCCTTTGGCCATAGAAATAGTTTGCGGCATTCTACATAGGTGTAAAGTAACCTGATATATTTTTTATGAAACAATATTCACAGAAAACACATAGCCTTGCCATTCCTGAAATGTCTGCCATTATTGTGCTTTTATTATTACCGTGGAGATATGTATGATTTCGTTCAGACTGAGACATTTTCATGGGGTATATTTTAGAGGGCAAAAAAAGGCAGACCACATTTTTGAAATGGCAGGATTATGGATATTCTATGATGTTTCATAAAAAATATTGCTAAAATTACTTGTGTTGAATTTATCAACCAAGCCACATTCGGGTTAATTCGAGTTTCACTAGTAATTTGGTTACCCAAATACGGTAATACAGAACAGAAAATATAATTTGGTATGAATTTGTTCAATCCCTTTGAACCTAAAAAGGAGTTCAAAGTGTACAAGTCATGTAAATGCTCACAATAAATTACATGCAGTATATCATACTAATACAGTATGATCCCTGGAAATATCCGTTACAATTTCTTCTTTTTATAAAGTTTTTGCTGAAATGAACCCGGTAATGTAGAGTTCAGTTTACTCGGGAATGCATGACAGGTTGTCGGAGATTCATAAAATATCTGTTTCCCTCTTTTAATCATTTCTGTTTCCCCCTCTGACATAATTTCTGGTTCCCTCTTTCATAGTATTTCTGTTTCCCTCTTTCGTATCATTTTTGTTTTCCTCTATCATATCATTTCTGGTTCCCTCTTTCATATAATTTCTGTTTCCCTCTTTCATACCTTTTCTGTTTCCCTCTCTCATATCATTTCTGGTTCCCTCTTTCATAGTATTTCTGTTTCCCTCTTTCGTATCATTTTTGTTTTCCTCTATCATATCATTTCTGGTTCCCTCTTTCATATAATTTCTGTTTCCCTCTTTCATACCTTTTCTGTTTCCCTCTCTCATATCATTTCTGTTTCTCTCTTTCATACCATTTCTGTTTCCCTCTTTCATATCATTTTTGTTTCCTCTTTCATATCATTTCTGGTTCCCTCTTTCATATCATTTCTGTTTCCCTCTTTCATATCATTTCTGGTTCCCTCTTTCATACCATTTCTGGTTCCCTCTTTCATACCATTACTGGTTCCCTCTTTCATATCATTTCTGTTTCCCTCTTGCATACCATTTCTGTTTCCCTCTCTCATATCAATTCTTTTTCCCTCTTTCATACCATTTCTGTTTTCCTCTTTCATATAATTTCTGTTCCTCTCTTTCATATAATTTCTGTTTCCCTCTTTTATATCATTTCTGTTTTCCCTCATTCATATCATTTCTGGTTCCCTCTTTCATACCATTTCTGGTTCCCTCTTTCATACCATTACTGTTTCCCTCTTTAATACCATTTTTGTTTCTCTCTTTCATACCATTTCTGTTCCTCTCTTAAATATTCTTTTTATTTCCCTCTTTCATATCATTTCTGTTTCTCTCTTCCATACCATTTCTTTTTTCTCTCTTTAATATCATTTTTATTTCCCTCTTTCATATAATTTTTTTTTCTCTCTTTCATACCATTTCTGTTTCTCTCTTTAATATCATTTCAGTTTCCCTCTTTCATACAATTTCTGTTTCCCTCTTTCATACAATATATGATTCTCTCTTTCATATCATTTCTGTTTTCCTCTTTCATACCATTTTTGTTTCTTCTTTCATATCATTTTTGTTTTCTCTTTCATATCATATATGTTCCCCTCTCTCATACAATATCTTTTTCCCTCTTTCATACCATTTTATGTTTCCCTATTTCAAATCATCTTTCTTTGCTTTCTCCTATCTCTCAAACCGTCTTAAATTCCCTCCGTGTTTATCCACTTAATTCTGATTTTTTAAATTTTCTGTCAAGAATTATTGTCCAAGAAACCTTTATTGTTATAGATAGCCATGTACATAAGTTTAAAATTAATATAAATTGTTTAACAACCTTGTACAATAACTACTGAATTGTACAAGTGTGTACTCATAATGTTATCAAAAAGACCAAAAGCTCATAATCTTAATTTGAGAACAAAAACAATCTCTTATAATGCAATTATTCACAAATATAAAAATTCAATTTTTTTAGAATTATTAAATTATTGGTCTTATTTACTTTAGACTTAATAATCTCAAGTCGTCAAATCGCAAATGCAATGAATGGCGGAAAACGTCATTGATTCTATTGTACATCTAATGTACATAACGTCATACAGTGTACACAGCAGAAGTTCTATTACACATGTAATTCTAAATCAATAAAAGTTAACATAATCTAGGTCCTGAATCAAACTGTGGTATTTGAATGAATGAATGAATGGATGAATGAATTTGCATTCACTATACAGTACTGGTTACATAAAGCAGATCGAGGTTTATAAATCATGAATGAATGTATGAATAAAAGAATGAATGAGAAAATGCGTTAATTCCTGAAGCTATATATGATATTCAGAGTTTAGCTTTTACATACATCATTACATCTATAAATGAATATAACAATAGCTAAACCAAAACCACAGATATTATAAATTAACATCTAACTATTTTATTCTTGAAAAATTAGTTTGCTTTTCATGCAGGAATATAAAGATAATTTTAGACGAAAAAAATCCGGTCTCATATCGCTGTGGGTACAATGCCTATTTTAAGATAGATAGACAAATGCAACAAATACTAAAACATTGTAGCGTATAATTATTATATCTATCGTTCATTATTAGACATTTGATCCATTGTGAGATAGATGCAAATAAAGCCTGAAAACAAACGTTTAGTTTGCATCGTAATGAAATTTGTTTTCTTTTGGGGGGGCCGGGAGGGAGGGTTTTAAACTTTGAAGACTAGAGTGATTGGACAAATTTAAGTAATTCAATAAGCTTTGAAAAAATAACAATTTTTGTTGTTATAACAATAAAGTTTTTTTTTTGAACCCACTAAACATTTAGTTCATATACTTCATTCTGAGCACAATACATTTATAAAACAACTTCAACTCAAGCTGAACTGATGAAGTTCTGCAATATTAGGCCAGTAAAAAAACTAGTTTTGAATGCCGTTAAATTTATAAATAACACATAGAAAATTAAGGCCGATTTTAAGTTCAGAGTTTTTAGCTTTCATATCTTCCACATTTTAAATATTATTAAAACTTTGTCTTGGGGCAACATAAGAAAAAACAATGTTTACAACAAAATCTGATAATTATTCAATAAATCACAGCCTGAGCCAAATTCGAAAAAAACTGTTTAAGGAGATTTAGATTTTTATTTTTCTGCAATTAACTTGAATTAGTGAAGTTATTTTGTTAATAAATATATAATTAGTGTTAAAAATGATAAAATGTTTAACTTTAAACAAATAAGTGGAGAAATGACTGTCACACTGTATGTACTTGTTTAACACTGAATGCAAATTTTGGATTTTATTTTTTTCTTCAAATTTTCACTTGTATTTATCCTCCATGCTGTCTCCTGCCATTCCCTCCCCTCCCCCTGTTTTAGGTGAGGTGATGGGTCTAGGTTTGGTGGGGGGTCTTGGCCCCCTCCCAACCTTATATTTAGCATCAAATAGTTTAATGGTGTCCCTAACACGGGATTTAGGCCGAGGAGGAGGCTTCAGGGGACTTTTTAGTTTTAGGGGCTCAGATCCGACACACACTTTTCTAAACAAAACACAATATATGAACACTTTTCTAAACAAAACACAATATTTTAACACTTTTCTAAACAAAACACAATATTTTAACACTTTTCTAAACAAAACACAATATTTTAACACTTTTCTAAACAAAAAACTATTTATAAAACAAAAAGTTTATTTTAAAAAACAGGGACTAAACTAAATTAAATGATTTTAAAACGAGAACTAATTGAACTCAGAACTATTTTTTAATTTGAAGCGGCCCACAGGCCCACAGTAGGAGCAGTTCAACTAATTCTCGCGGCCCATTTATTAAAATATTTCATTCATATGAATAAATTAATAAACAAATAAATATATAAAAAATTATCCAAACCAAGAATTAGGAAATAAATGAATAGACAAATTAAAGAATAAAGAAATGATGAAAAGTAAATTTTAAATGAATAAAAAGCTATTTACCCCTGGCTTGAAGCTCTAGCTGGTGTGCTATGAATAGATAGTTTCTCCTCCAGACGTTTAGGTAAAGATATTGGTCTAGGTATTCTAGATCGAGAACTACGAGAACTACGAGAACTAGAACCAGATCCAGGGGTTGTAGGAGCTGACGAGTTCTAGATTAAATATAATTATTTCAAGAAATTATTTTAAAAGGGAGTTTCGCGCCGATCTTGATGTAATAATATTAAAGCTTTTGTTGCTAATCTTACTAAAAAAATGACAATAAAAAATTCGCAGACATTCCCGTATTTGTTACAGGAGATTTTTAAAAAAAAATTTTAAAATTTTGGTGTGGCAAAATTATTGAATTAGAAAGGCCTACGTAAACCTTCCATGTATCAGGTGAGATAACACACAACATCTGGACTTATTGGTTTAGCCCAACGTTAAACTAAACTAAATTTCACGAAAGATTGAATTCTTTTATGTTTCTAAACCATAAATCCTTTTATTTGTTAAAAAGCTGTTGTGAAGAATAAAATGTTTGAGTTTCTATGTAACAGGACAAGTTTGTGTACTTGTAAAGCTGTGGAAATGAAAGATGACATTAAAGTACTAGCTAATTTGTGTACTTGTAAAGCTGTGGAAATGAAAGACGACATTAAAGTACTCTAATGACGTGTATTTAAAATTAAGATGTTGTTAAAAAAACAAATAGCTTAATCGGTATCTTTTAAATCAACTTTTTAAATGAGATAGGTCTGTGTACACCATACACAGTTTTATAATTATTGGACCAAAAATAATCATAACTTGAGTCGTAACAGTAGTATTCCCATTCCAGAGTTTGATAAGCCTGAGGTGTATACCTGTGACGTGGTTCTGCTGCAAGCACAGTTTGAACAGTGCTCTCTCTTCTTGTAAATCTCCCCTCCTGGTATCTCCTCGAGTATGCCTGAACAAGGAACAACATGTTTAAAATATTGACGCTAGATGTCTCTGACGTTGTGATACAAAGCATTAATCCCGCATGTGGTTGAAAGAGCATAGGGAAGGCAGGGAAGTAGGGGCGAAAATTAAAAAAATAATAGATTAATGTAACAGATAGATAAACATTTGGATTTACATTGTACAGGTGTCAAATTATGTACAGTTAAACCCTAAATATTAAATGCATCGGAAGAATTTATCAAATGTCGTTTATTAAATCTTTTGATACTGGAATGCCGCAAATATTTGTTTTTTTTTTATTGAATATTTATATGGAGCTCTTTAAAGATGTCCCCACAGTCCCCGCATATTTCATAACTATTTATTTATTTATACAAAAAAGAGACAACAAACTTTTCATTCGGGAAAAAAATATACTTTTAACAAAGAAATTTTCATACTGTTTTAGTAAGCTACATTTATTCCTTTGTTTTGAGCAGCTTCCTCTACCCTACAGATTGAGAACGACAGCTTCAGTACATTCAGTACAACTACTGAGATTTAGAACAACAGCTTCAGTACATTCAGTACAACTACTGAGATTTAGAACAACAGCTTCAGTACATTCAGTACAACTACTGAGATTTAGAAATTCTTTGCTTCTTGATATAAAATTATCAGCGGCAAAACCCATTAAAAAAGTTCAAGGCGACATTTGACAAATTCTTCCGATGTATTCAATATTTAGGATCTAACTGTATATTCATGCAGAAAAAAAAATCAAGAACTCTTACATTGCAGATTTTCTTAATCGGGTAAATATTACTGTACATTTGTAGATCTCTCTTTTTTAGATAAGAAGATTTAGAAAATTATATATACTCTAATATATATTCAGGTCACAGAGATATCAAATTTCGCAAAGCTTGTATTAAGATTGCAAAAACTAGCGCAATTTCATTTCCTTGAAGGGAGTTTGCAATCATAACGTTGATGACAAAATATGTTATTTGCAGGTCATAGAAAATATAAAACAGCTGTGTTTCTAACCCCGAGTATACTTTTATACATTTTATTTTTTAAATGATTATATTTCCGACTCGATGAAGACGACGTCAGTAGATCTATGGGTCAAAATATCTAGAGGAATGATGATAAATTTGAAAATACCTGAATTAAACGGCATATCTATATTGAAGGGAAGAGAAAACAGTCGTTGTAGACAGAAGACTAGTTCATCAAATAGGAGCTTAGTCTCCTACATTTTCATTATTTTTATTATTATTATTATTATTATTATTATTATTATTATTATTATTATTAATTTTCTACAATTCTATAGTTTTAAAAAAAAAGAAAAACCATTTACAACCGATTTAAACGATTTAAGAAAGATTTACTAAGCATGCATTAGATTATTTAATTTGTAACAATCTTTGATTTATTATCTTATATATTAAGTTTGCAATACTATAAAATTTGAATTGACTGTGCAACCGCGTCTAAAAAAGAAATAAAAAACAAGTCTTATTTAGGACGGAATTTGAACACAGGCCATTTTTTCTCCAATATTAAAAAATATAGCTTGGTAAATTAGGATCTGGATATTCAAAATAGTAAAACTCTACATTTAGTTGTTGACGAAACCTGTTTAAAAAATCTGACACGAATTACAACTCTTGGCATATTAATCAGATGTTTTGTAAATGGTAGATACAGAAAGAAGAGAGTACAGAGATCTATTAAAGACTAGAATATGCGATATTTTCTACAACAGGTACCATTGTGTACAACTGTAGTACACGACCAATTAACAGACGTCTGTATTTAGGGATATTTAAGGATCCTTTGGATACAAAATACAGAACCTTGAGTAATAAACTAAAATAATAAATTTTGTATTTTTTGTTTAAAGTTACAGGATTTCTTTAAAAATTGTAAAATTTAACTCCTGAATGGGTATTATATGCAACAACTGGCCGTTTGACGGCAGTCAACCCCCCTTTCATGGAAGTGTATCATGCCTTGCCGGGTCAACAATAGGCCTGCTGTGCCTAGCCTGTGAGAGCATATGAGCAGTCTGTGTGTATTTAGTCTGTGTGTGTCTAGCCTGTGAGAGCTAGTCTATGTGTATCTAGTCTATGTGTATCTAGTCTATCTGTATCTAGTCTATGTGTATCTATAGTCTATGTGTATCTAGTCTGTGTGTATCTAGTCTGTGGGTGATAAATGAAAAAGTTTAAAGTCTGTTTACTTGAGCATGCCGATGATGAATCCAGAGAACTTCTTGAAATCCTCCTCCGAGGAAAATTTTGTGTTGAGGAGCATCACCAGGTCACAGGTTGCCCGCTGACCGGGACCAGCCTAAACAGGCAGAACTTTGACCCCGGGCAAACGTAAAAAGCTTAAACTTGGGGAAATCTGGCGAATCAAATTAAAAAATAGGGAACTTAGACAACTTATTGATGCAAAAATATATAAAAAAAACTGTACAATGGGCTAATTTTCTTCTTTTATCAACAAAAAATAATAATTGGTTAGTTTAGGTTAGGTCAATATCAATCTATGAACACTTTTACAATTGATAAAAAAACTGAAGTTTTATTTTTGAGATGTAAAGAAAAGTCTAGAAACTCACTGCTCTCTACATTCCCTTAAACGAATGCTTGCCAAAATTTATATTTTTCATTAAAAAAGGGGAAAATCCACTAATAAGGAAAACCTGCAAAAATTTATATTTTTGAGAAAAATTTGAAAATTTTGTGGCCCTCAAATTCCTTTTGACGCGAAATTTTGAAAACATTTTTTATTTGCCATCAATTTCTGGTCTTCCACATATTTGGCAGCAGCTCCTTTATTTATATATAATCTTTATGAAAATGAAATCTCTATTAAATTGAACATCTAGTAATCTAGAGCTACATATAACATGCATGATAACCCCTGACAGTGATCCAATTATTCTTTAAAACTACAGGATAAAAAAGGGATTCATAAGTTCAAAGTTTTAAAAAAGTAAATGTACAGGACTATAAAAAGTAAATGTAAAGTACTAAGAAAAAAAGTACTTAGTGTGTTAGAGCAGTAAAATAAAAGCCTAAACCGATGCGACACTTTAAATTCGAATCAGTCTTGTAAATTTAATGCAACTTTTCATAGCAGGCTGGATCTATATGGACCCTACCCCACACTGGATAGAACTCTAAGAAGAAAATAAAAATAAAAAGTTGCCAATCATATAGCCTAAATTATAAAGCATGAAGAACTAATAGAAATATAGTACCTGAATTATCGCCTCTATCACTCTCCAAACACTGGTTTTCATCCGACCAAACGATGTGATTACTTCCTCCTGAATTACAGATAGATAGATAGATAGATAGATAGATAAATAGATAGATAGATAGATAGATAGATAGATAGATAGATAGATAGATAGATAGATTAACTCACACACTAGTTTCAACCTCCTCCCCTCCGGAGAAATATGACACGTGAAAGAGCATAAAAAAAGAATGGAGAGAAATGACTGCAGGAAACTTAAACCGCAGTACAAGTGAAATATGAATATTATTAGACAGTAAGTCAGACAAACATAAGATTTAAATTAAAAAATTAATGTTCCTTAATTCAATAAGAACGACAATAAAAGCTTTTCATTTTAACCCTATCACGATTGGGGGGGGGGGTGCTTAAATTAAAAACGGCTTACTAGAACGCTCAAACTTCTACACGTTTTAAACTTCATAGTTGTGAAAATATTTTGCAATTTATTTTTGATGCATAGGCCATGGGGTGGATCGAGGACGGTTTTTACAAACTTTTTCATCAATAAAGCCACAGATCTATAATTTATTTATTTAATTAAAAAGCCCTTTAAAAATGAATGTCATAACATGTTACACATGTTAATAATTGTCAAAGTAAAAATCAACATTTTTCCGATTTACTTTTTTAACTTTTTTAAAACCCTCCCTATGAGCACCCTGACCATTAAAGTTAGAGGATTAATTTCTACAATGAGCTAGCTTTGACAAGTTAGAGTTTAGACTATGGACATGTATCACTCTCCACTCTCAACTCTGAGAGCAAAATCATATGAGGTCCCAATTTATATTAGATAAAATTAGTTCAATCATGGTAAGGTTAAGCTAACTAAGTTACTGTTTTCTTGTAGCATTAGGACGAAACACAATTAGAGAACGATTATACACTTAGAGGACGAATATTACCTTTAGACCGTCCTCTAGTACTGCATGAAGAGCAGGACAGAACTCATGAAGCAGGACACAACGAGCAGCTGATCGGTTAGAATAGGACGGGGATGGGTCCTAAATATTTCACAAAGTAAGTTCGTGAAGAAAATCTTAAAAAATGAGGACACTATGGTCGTATTTTCAACAATTCTCTAAACCCAAACTTGTTTAAAAAAATTTATTGGATTGAAAGGTTTTCTTTTAATTGGAATTCATCACATTTTACTATCTTTGATTAATCAAATACAGAGATTTAATTAGATTTTTTTTAAGTAAAAAAAATCCTTAATTATTTTTAAAAGACATTTTTTTCTTCAATAGTTACCTGGAACATTAGTAGTCGTTCTACAGCTGTATACAAGTTTTGAAATAAGCCTAGAAAATTCAAAACCTATTTAACAAGAACTAAGGGACTTGGTGTCTTTTTAACATTAAAATTTTATCTTTTATGAAATTAGTGGAAAAAGGATGCCTTAGGTTATAGAAAGTTTTATATTTCAGCATTTCTGTGCAAAATGAGAGCAAATTTTGCAAAACTTATAACTTTAATCAATATTTTATTCTGTCAAATAAATTTACAAAGTTCTACATCAAAATAAAATAAATTTTGTGCCCAATTTTTTCCATTCTGAAGATTTAACTTTTATATAATCTAAAAAAAGAATTCAAAATTGGATTTTAAATGTTGTCTGAACTTGGACATTTTGAATGAACCGGATGAATTCAACTAATTCTCTCTTTGCGGGAAAATTATCTATTCTCATATGTCTTATCTCGGAGCTTTTGATCATTAAAATGTTAATAATGTTAAAAAGATTTAAACTCATTTTTCCAATTTAAAGGAATTGTAAACGTATTTTAACGTGACCGTAACTCTAAATTTGCATCGTGGCAGGTACAATTCACAACGGTACCCTTAAAAGCTTTGCCTGATCTAGAAGGAATGAGATATTCATGTTAATCGTTCTTTAAATTGGTTATTTTCAGTTGTAGTTTCTTTAGAAAAGAATTTCTGTTTACAGAAAAATGGAGTCAGAATTTAACTTTTTCAAGTTAAAAAAACTAATTATTTCACAATTGATCAGATTATACAGATCGAAAGAGTACACTTGTGAATAGTACATGCCGATCTTCAAATTAAGGGGAAATTTGTTCTAAACACTAAAAACTGTGACAAACCTACCTCGTTTATGTGTGAGATCAAAGTTGATATTTTGCTGATGAGGATTAAAGGATAGAGATGGGATAAAGGGATATTCAGCTGATATACTCCGGTCCTTCCGTCCTATAGTAAATATAAGATGGGATAAAAGGATATTCAGCTGATATACTCCGGTCCTTCCGTCCTATAGTAAATATAAGATGTACCTGTACCTGTACCTGTACCTGTACCTGTACCTGTACTTGTACCTGTACCTGTTCCTGTATCTTGGGCTGGACTAAGATTAGTATCTGACCATGAATCACACAGGTTTCCTTGACTTCCAGACTAGAAATAAAAACGATAAAAATAAATCTAAAACAAACATAAAAACTGCATATTTCTTCAATCTTTAATTGTACCTTTGGAAAGGATGTTGTTTTAAAGGAACTGAGTCTTACATCTCCTGGACTCATTAATAACTAAAAGTAAATGATTAAGAAACTGAGTTAGTTTGTCGGTTCAACCAGACATGCATAGTTCAATTTTTTATTGAATTCAACATTTTTAGCAGTTATCTACCATATGTTAACATTATCATTATTCCAGCAGAGAAAGATTTTCCAAATAAAAAATGAAAACAAGAGAAGAAGATAAAATGAAAGCAATAGAAGAAGATAAAAATGACAACAAGAGAAGAAGAAAGCAATAGAAGAAGATAAAAATGACAACAAGAGAAGAAGATAAAAATGGCAACAAGAGAAGAAGATAAAAATGGCAACAGTGCCTCTTCCCCCCCCTCTCTTTTATCCTGCATTTATCTTCCCCTTCCTACCCCCCCCTGACTATAGGTTTAGTTTATAAACCTGGGACAACCCATCCTGTGGATGATAACTTCTTCTTTTCATAGTCTTCTCCTCACTCTTCAGTCGTCTCTGTACACTTGTCGTCCTTGTTCTACTCTGTCGTCCCTCGTCCTCTTTCATCTCGTCCCTGGACCTCTCGTTGTTGTTCACCAGGTTTAGGTTATTGTCCCCAGTATTCTCCCTGGAAAAGGTTTTAACATTATTTTGATAAAATTAAAAAGTATTCCCACCAGAGCTGAAAACTTTAGAATTGGTAAACCCGTAATCCCGATCCCTTAATCTGAATATTTACCGTGGAAACTTTTGATTTTCAGACTAATCCTCTTATTTTGGATATAGATGATATAGATGATATAGATGATATAGATGATATAGATGATATAGATGATATAGATGAGCGAGGTATACTCTGAAAAGTTTTGTGCGATCAAGACTGAATGAGATATCCCTGTTTTTTAACTTTGACAATTTGTTATTTCAATTGAGGTTATCTATAAGTGTGACTTACGGATTTTTATAACAGAATAACAATAGATCTCTTCGAATCTTAACACTTTTCAAGTAAGAAAAACTACGATATCTTCCACATTATTGCTCAGATAACATTAGTTTTAATGGTACCGTCGTGATTCGGGCGTTCCCCTTGAAATTAAATCTCTTAAAAGTTTTTAAAGAAATGAAGCATTTATAAGATCTTATTATTACACCAAAATGACATATTTGTAAATAAATACATCAAAAAAACATATGTTTTAAACGCAATAGAATTAAAACTACGTAGCATTACACATTCTAACACACGTCTCTTCATTTTATATATTAAAATGTTGGTGTTTATTGCAATAAGGACTAAAATAAAGAAATTGCTACGACGCGATGCGTATGTATCGTTTGTATGGATACTCTCAAAACAAATATGTAAATAACCTACAACAATAATCAATAATCAAATACAAATAATTTTGTTTTAATATTATTTAAAATTGACTTTTACCGATTTTATTGAGTTGCATGCTTTTTGCTGTACATATCAAGAAAACGTTATTTTTTCTGTGTATATCAAGAAAACGTTATTGTTTCTGTGTATACCAAGAAAACTTTATTGTTTCTGTGTATATCAAGAAAACTTTATTGTTGCTGTGTATATCAAGAAAACGTTATTTTTTCTGCATATATCAAGAAAATTTTTTTTGGTGTATATCAAGAAAACGTTTTTTTTTCTGTGTATATCAAGAAAACGTTTTTTTTCAGTGTATATCAAGAAAACGTTTTTTTCAGTGTATATCAAGAAAACGTTTTTTTTTCTGTGTATATCAAGAAAACTTTATTGTTGCTGTGTATATCAAGAAAAAGTTATTTTTGCTGTATATATCGAGAAAACGTTATTTTTTCTGTATATGTCAAGAAATTTTTTTTTGTGATCAAGAAAACGTTTTTTTTTCTGTTTATCAAGAAAACGGTTTTTTTCTGTGTATATCAAGAAAACGTTTTTTCAGTTTATATCAAGAAAACGTTTTTTTCTGTGTATATCAAGAAAACGTTATTTTTGCTATATACATCAAAAAACGTTATTTTCTGTGTACATCGAGAAAACGGGTTTTCTGTGTATATCAAGAAAACGCTATTTTTTCTGTGTACATCAAGAAAACGTTATTTTTCTGTGTATATCAATAAACTTATTAATTCTATGGCTCTAGGAAATAATGCAGATAAAGGATAAAGATATATAGAGACATAAAGATACAGTATATAATATCCAACAAAGGGATACAAGTTTATTTTCTGGCTGCTTGGGTTTCCTCTGTTGGATTTAAAAACAAATGATTTCTTGAGATTTCGATAAATTCTCCATTCGGATCCATCAGACCTGAGCACGGTGGACTAGGGTCTATTTGAATTGGAACCGTACCTACCCCTTGTGCCGGCCTGGTTTTAACTTTGATGACGTGACTTTAACAGTACCCGGCCTATCCTAGTATTTTACCTATCCCAATAGCTTAGTTTAGTGTGAGGGCAAATTATCCCTTGCGACGGTTTGACCATATACAATACCACTTTCATTGATTCAGGAATAGAAATCTTTCTCCGATTTAAGGAATTAAACTTTGATTTAAAAGTTTGTGCAGTGAATGTTAAGTTCTGTAGCTGAAGCTAATCCCTTTTCAAAAGTTTTCCCCTCCGATTTAGTTACATTACAACTTATTGCAAGTTAAATTGATTTGCATTTGTATTTTTGTCTCGTTTGTTAGTTTTTACTTGTATCTGATAAACGCCATTAGAGAAGGTTAATGCATGATTGGAATAAACATTTTTGTTGAATCATTTTTTTTGAAAACTTATGACGAAAACTGGAAAATATGCATAACGCTTTTTATTATGTAATTAGAAATGTTTTGCCATAAAACCGTGTAGTATTATGCCAGTTACTTCTTTTATACTTTAGCTGATAATAAGCGCTCTGCAATTTTAAAATATTAATGTCTAGGACTACAAAATAAAGTATAACTGAGTTGGTGAGGTAAACCCCAAGCCTAAGCCGTTGCAACGCATTCAAGTCGAGATCTGTCTAAAAAGGAATGAGTCTTTGTACAAACTCTGATGTTCTAATACCTATATTTTTTCCACCTGATGGTGAAAATCTTTGATATTTCAAACTTAGATTCTTTCATTTAACAGAATTTTTAATTTGAAATATCTAAGGTCTACGGCATTGGGTTGCAAAGATTTAGAGATTAGAAAATTATAGTTTGTGACATAGACTCAATTCCTTTTATGACAAACTTTCATAGTTGTCTAGATTCAGTGCGAAAGAAACATTAAAAAAGGTAAAATTATTACTATTTGAAAAGGGCTGCGGAATTCATATTTATTATTTACAAACATTATATTTAATTACAACCATTACAGAGAATAATAATTTAGCAAATAAATCAATTATTAAACCAGCGTTTTTTTACCTTTGCCAGTGTTTGATATACGCCTGTATATGTTCAGGCTGGGGGGCCCAGGCCTCCTTAACCTAGATAATAATAATAATAATAATAATAATAATAATAATAATAATAATAATAATAATAATGAACAATAAATAATATTAAAAATAACTATTATTACCTTAACAACTTCTAATGGAAGGGTCTCAGAGCCTCCGCACTCCTAGAAGAGAAAAATAATTTTTACGTTGCTTTTTTAAAATTTAAGTCAATGTCAATCAAATTAACTGTAACTTTTTTTTAACTTGTTAATTGTAATATGCCAACTTTAGTTTGTGTTTATTTAGCTTTTGTTCTCAATAACCTCGAAATAATGGCTAAAATGGGATATTAGAACTAGAAATACTTTACGGCTAGAAATTTCCCCTTACTAAATTGTTGCATGCTAGGAACTAAAGAGGAACTGGTTTCTCGACAAAAGTAATTTTGCAACCTGATGTTTTCTTTAGTATTTTAAACCATGAATCTGCTAGATCAGGTTCAAATAGTTAAATATCAGGTTACAGAGATGTAGGAATTCATGGCGAAAAATCAAATTATTTGCCTAAACGTTATTTTTAAGCACAAGTAAATAGTATTTAAAAGGACTGTAGACCTCCCGGCCACTCATAGATTGGCAAGTCCGGTTCACAATGATGCAATTAATGCGGATTTATGCATCAGAGATAATGAAGGAAATTGTTAGAACTATACACTTTTTAAGTCTGGAAAAAATGAAGATTTCTTCCTCATTGTTCCTTTCTTTGTACTTTGTGTTACGCCCACGAGTCCTGTTATGGTTTTGAAATCATTTTAATACCTTTTCAGGAGTATATTGACTAGTATTCAGCCTCGACAGAGATTCACACACCTAAACAAAAATATTTGATAAAAATATTTTTTAGCCTTTATAATTTTTTTATATCTGTAAAGTGTTCATCTCATCATATAATTACGTTCATGCATTTCTGAAAAAAAAAGTTTCATCTTTAAAAACAGTAAAAATTTTAATTTAAAAAAGGAAAATTTTGAATAACAAAAATTTTGAAGCATGCGACATACGTTTTGAAATCTTTATTTTCAACAGCTTTTCAAATATGTAATTTCAGACATGTAGTTCAAATATTTTAGAAGATACAGGGAAATTCAATATTTTGTTATTCATCTTTGCGACCGACCCTGTAGGCTGTATATTATAAAAATCACTTAAAGAACCTTAATTTCAAAACTGCAGTACTTTTAGCTGGGCAATTTTTAATTGTTGCAAAACATGTTTTCTATTTGTGCGGAAAATTGTTGAGCATTTGAAAATTAAATTTTCAACGCATTAACAAGTAATCTTAGAAAGCGCAAAAAAATTGTAGTTTTAAGATAAAATGCAACTTTGTTTACAAGTGCGTGTGTTAGCTGCAGTCCAAGTACATGCTGGTGTACAATATACTGCATATATATATGTACTGCATATTAATGTACTGCGTGTCCTGCCTGTTTTTGTCTGAACCAACGATGTAGAGGTATTTTACCAAGGATCTGTATAGATAATTATAATCAAGGAGATTTGAATAGAAGGAGGGGGCGATAGAGTTTCCGTACAACCCTGCTGGTGAATCTTCATCTAACGCCAGAGATGCGCCAGATGTCTGTTTATCATTTGTGTTATTGTTTACAATCTTTATTTTTGTTGTTACACAAAAACTAGTTCTTCAGCAGTCCAAATACGTCACAGCAAAGTGTACGGAAACACTATTGCCCCCTCCTTCTATTCAATTCTCCTTGATTATAATAAAACATGCAACTATATACACTTATGTTATTCCGTCATAAATTCTCTCTGTCGAGCTTTTTTATGGAATTTTCTACTTAAAAAATAGTGTAAACATGATAACATAATAAGACGTAGAGAAATTTTTCACACATATTCAAGTCTCAAAAAATAGAAAATTCAGAAAATTACATTTCTGCATTATAATATTCTCTAAATATTGAGAAAATTCTAAGATACTTTTAAACACCAAATTTTGTCTCTTGATTCTTATGAGAAAACTGAATTTGTTTAATGTTCTAATTTTACTCCCTCATCAATCGTTTCAGATGGATTTATAATTATTTTAACTTTTTTAAAAAGTATTCATTTTTTAAAATGATAATTCACGTCAGAAATCTTCTCAGAGCGGGATGTTATTTTGATTATTTATCCCAAGGGATAGTTAAGTATTATAAATCCAGGGGGGTTTTAAACTTTACCTGGGCTATTGGAGATTTGGTTTGTTTTGAGGGAAGCAAATGTTTTTGAGAGACCGGAAGAAGAACCCTGAAAAAATCACATTAAAATTATTAATTTTTAATTCACTTTGTCCAGGATTGTCTAGATCAATGAGGCCAGTGTGTGTAGTATAAAGAATAAGCATGGATGTTTTATCGACCAGTTTGGTCCAAATATGGTAATTTCATTACCTTAGAGATTTGACGTCCCTAACCGAAGCAGATCCAGCCCGTCTGTAATAATCAGGTTCAATAATAATAATAATACACCTGTTCAAATCAACTCTCTCAAGTGTACAGTATTCTTGTAAAAAATCAATATTTAGAACATTTGAGACTTTGCTGGCATCAACCCCGGCCTGTGCTCATTCACAACCAAAATTAGGGATACAAGATAGGACTCGAGTCTTTGAACCAAACTCTGATTTTATTATCCCTATATTTTTGCAATCTGATTGTACATAAAATATGATATTGAAAAATTTGATATTGAAAAATATGATATTGAAAAATATGATATTGAAAAATTTGATATTGAAAAATATGGTATTGAAAAATGTGATATTGAAAAATTTGATATTGAAAAATATGATATTGAAAAATATGATATTGAAAAATATGATATTGAAAAATTTGATATTGAAAAATATGATATTGAAAAAAATAATATTGAAAAATATGATATAGAAAAACATGATATTGAAAAAAAATGATTTATTGAAAATATGATTATGAAAAGTATGATTATTAAAAAAAATTATTATTATTGAATAATCTGCCTGAGATAATCCTCCACTGGTAGTTGAGGACGGAGGACGCTTGAATGTTTTCCTCCTGTCCTACTGTTGGTAAAAAATGCGTCCCAGAGAGCGCAGTCGTCCTCCAAAAAATCTAAAAAAAACATCAATTGACATGTGAACCATATCTGCGAATTATTAAAAAACAAAGAATTGTTTACAAATTACAGTGCAAGCAAATTAATGTATCAACATTTTTAGTTCCAGAGATTTATAGATTTTTCTCTTCATNTAAATGAAAGCAAATCAATTTGATCTAAAAGTATTTTAAATTTAAATTTAAAATTCTAATGATTAAAAAATTTAAAGATTTTTAAAGTTATGAAAAGTGTGTGGGAATTAGAGATCTAAAGATCAAAATATAATTTTGCTGATATTTAATTAATGTAGATTGAAAAGCTGAAATAACTGTTCAATCTAAGGGCTAAACTTTTGATTGAGTTGGTGTCAAGGTTGAGCGACCTAGCTCGATATCCACATTTCACTGTTATAGATATATGTATACTTTTAGTTGGATTGCCCTGATTATAAAGTTTAAAACCCCAGAGATTTATACTGAAAGTCCACCCAAAGATTATAAGAAACGATTCAAAAAGGTATTCAGTGTCTAAGGTTAAAATTTTTACTCTTTGTTACCATTATTTTTAAGGGGAACATATCTGCTTATATAAACATATTTTTTATATGCCTTAAAACACAACAGTTTTGAAATACCAATTTATAAACTGTTTCTTTAGAAAATGTCAAAAAACCTAAAAAAAAATATTAATACTGCAGAGCTTTTTAACCAAATTAACATAATGAAAAAATATACAATTGAAATTTTCAGATAGTAAATTTAAGATAACTCTGCATGCACCTCTGACCCTTTAGTAAAAGTAAATTCAACCTAAAGTCTGACCGCGCCAACCTTGAACAATTAATTCATGTCTTAAAGAGACTGCTAGCATAATTTTAATTGACCCTCCATACAAACATGGCAATCCATGATTCACAACTGTACCCTTACTGATCAAGTAAGAATTTTAAATTAATGTTTCTAATTTTGAAAATTGATTATTTTAAATATTGGTTTCTCTACAAAAATGATTTGCGTGCATTTCTGCTGCATGAAAAAAATACATTTCAATCCTAAAAAAACTAAAATATCTTCCACATTATTGATAAGACCAAGGTTTCCAGGCTACCTTCGATGTTTTAACTATTTGATCTAGCAAATGTTGGTATTTGAAATATTAAAGGGTTACAAACTTACAACATCAGGTTATATATAAGGAATAAAAAATTAAATTTCATTTTAAAATTGCCAAGAAAACCCTCCAGAAGAATTTAATGTATTTGAAATTAATTGAGTTTCTTTCCTAAGCTTGGATTTTTTTTTGATCCAGCTGAACTCTACAGTGTACAAACTTTAAAGATGAGGGCTTTAAGTCTTAAATCAGATAATTACAAAATTTGACTAACTCTGAACTAAATTCTACGGCTCATGTTTAGCCTTCCACGTGAAGCTCACATAGATTCAGCCAGCTTATAAAAAGTTCCATAAAGTTTTAAGACAGGGTCGATTTTAAAGTGTCGCAACGTCAAGGGCTTTGATTTTGTCGCTCTTACTTACTAAAATTTCATCGATTTTTGCTTGAGAGGTTGGGACCTTTAAATCACAGTGGAATATCTGTGGCTAAACCTAGGAATCTAGCCAAGCCCATAAAGGAATCCTAGACTTTGCCTGAACTGTGTTTACACTCTGGGTTATGTTTTGTTTTTGTAAATTATAGATCTCACCTAATTCTGGGAAATTTCCTGATCTTCTCTTGGAGATGAAGGATGCACCCTGCATGGAGGGGGAGGAGCTTGTCTGGTTGAAAGGAGATGTGCTCCGGGGCGGTCCACTCTGCAGGGAGGTACCTTGTACAGAGGGTGTGGTACTCATCGAGGTAATGCTCCGCTGTCGAGGTGTTGGAATTGGTCTAAACAACCATAACGATATTATAATTGTTCTTTTCTAACAGTATTTTAAGAAAAAGAACTTTAAAGGAACTGTAGACGTAGTTTAGGTTAATTTTTCATTTTCGTTTCTTTGTAAAAGTGACTAATGAATCAGATATAATAAAGAAAATTTTTAGAATTCAACACTTTTAGGATAGATAAACAACGAGATCTTTCTCATTGTTTCTCAGATAAAGCTGTGTGTAGTATAACGTTGTGAATGGAACATTCCGCATTCTAAATGGAGTGTCACTTAATTGAAATTTCGTCTATAAATTCTAAATAGAGGGTTACCTAGTTGAAATTGCGTCTATAAATTCTAAATGGAGGGTCACTTATTTAAAATTACGCCTATAAATTCTAAATGAAGGGTCACTTAATTGAAATTACGTCTATAAATTCTAAATAGACGGTTACCTAATTGAAATTTCGTCTATAAATGCTAAATGGAGGGTCACTTGAAATTACGTCTATAAATGGAGGGGTCACTTGAAATTACGTATATAAAGCCAATGTGGAACGATATTTATTTTGACAAAGTTGAAGATTAAAAAAGGAATTGAGCTTTTGCCACAAATTCAAATTTTCTAATCCTTAAATCTTTGCAACCTAATAGTGTAAACCTTGGATTTTTTCAAAACTTAGGTTATTTGATCGATGATAGAATTCATAGTTTGAAATATCTAAAGTTTAGATATACGTCACAACTCACAACATGCAAGAATATAAAATTCAGAGTTTGTGGCAAAGACTCAATTCCTTTACATTATACCTAATCGTGGCAAAAACTGAAAAAGGAGCCCATTCCAGCTTGTTTTATAACAAATTTTTACCTAACAGTTGATTCTTCAGCAGAACTTGAACTGCTTGCTTCAGTGTGCTCATCAATGCTGGTCAACCGAGATTTTCTAAAAAAACAAGTTTTGTCGTACAAATGCAACAAATTATTTTACTAAGCATACCTGAGGTATTCATTGATGGCATCCTTTTCTTTCACCCCCATACCCCCTAGTGTAGCAGGGCTAAGAACCCCCTCCCTCCCCCCTCCCTCCTCCCAGCCAACCCCTCCTTCGCCGTTCCAGCTGTTCCTGTAAGAAAATTGGCGGATTTACAGTGGGAATATTTTGCGAATTTGCACATTTCGTAATTCAAAATTTCACAGATTGTCATAAAATTCCCATTTGCAACATGACTAGGCACGTTTAATATTTTGTTTAAAATCTTATTTAAGGTTTATAAGAAGTGTGACAAAAACATTTTCAGGAAGTATGTAATCAAAAAAACTTCCAGTTGTAATTATTAAAACCTATAACGCGCGTTTTATAATAAAGATTCAACCGATCTCATTTTAATAAATAAATAATCAAGAAAAATAGATAAATTGAAAAAGTTGTACCTATCCCCTCTGCCTCTCATATAAAGATTTAATAGACGAGGTTCATCAGTACTTGCCTCCCTAAATCCAACAATTTTACATAAAATAGATTTGATTATCAAATCAGAGCAACTAATCCGGCCTCACATTTTTAAAATATTGTTACCATTTATCAATTTCATATCAAATTTTAAATTGTTCAAATTTTTGATATTATCTATATATAAAGTTTTAATCTCTGTTTCTCTCTGTTTTTTTGCTTGTCCGATCATAACTCAGAAACCCCTGGACCAATTTGCCTCAAATTTTAATTGGGGGAACTCGGGAGACCCATGGGAATGTTCTTAGCATGGTTTTGAGTTGAGAAGGTCGACTTTAATTAAGAAAATTTAGTTTTCTTGTAAAACGTTCAAGTGCAGGTAAACGGTGGGAGTAACTTTTAGTATGATATATCTACATATATATGATACATATACAAGTTAAATTTTTAGAATTATCTATTTCATGCGAATCAATATTATTCCTGCAATTGCAGCTTAAAAATTAGCTCCACTAACAACAACAAACATGGTTAGTTTTAAAAAAGGTCCAATTTTAATCATTTCAATAATTCAATCATTAAAAAGATTTAGTGCGAACGTTTAACATTTCATTAGGTCGCGCTTTACGAATGTAGCGGTTTCTGTAATATGCGTTTGTCATATCTTTCCTAAAGTTTTTTTTAGTTCAAAGCGTTTTTAGAAAATTTTGTTTTCCTTGTAAATTTTTCTTCTTCAGCCCAGGCTGTCTTTACGAGGGGCTTGCTTATATTCGGCATACTTCTAGATATAGTAGAAAGTAGATAGTAAATAGTAGATAGTAGATAGTAGATAGTAGATAGTAGATAGTAGATAGTAGATAGTAGATAGTAGATAGTAGATAGTAGATAGTAGATAGTAGATAGTAGATAGTATATAGTGGATAGTAGATAGTAGATAGTAGATAGTAAATAGTAGATAGTAGAATGCTCCTGGTTTACCTTGATTTCCTAGTAGAGTCCGCCATATTATTATTATTCTCCTCTCCAGGCCGGGACCTGTCCCTGCTGTCCCTGTCCTTGTCCTTGTCCTTGTCCCTCTGCCTGTCCCAGGACCTCTTGTCCGTCCTCTCTCCCTTCTCTACAGACCTCTGCTTCATTACGTTGGACCAGGTTGTGTACTTTCCATCCTCTGCAACCAATCAATCAATTAATCATCGAATCAATCAATCCTTGCGCTAATCAATCAATCAATCAATTAATCGTTAAATCAGTTATTTCTTTGCAAGAAAGCTTTTTTTATTTAAGAAATAAAAGCTTTTTTTTCTTTGACATTTTACTTCTAATTTATTGCCCAGAAATAAAAGTTCAGATTATTCACATCATTAAATCTAGGTTAGTTTGGTTCAATTAAGAGAACAAAGAATTACGAAGTTTTTTATTTTCTAATCTAAGATTAGAGAAAATGGTCTGAACTTAATTTTTTAATTAACTTTTTCTAGATTAATTTGCAGATAGATAGATAGATAGATAGATAGATAGATAGATAGATAGAAAGATAGATATAGATTTAATAAATATGAAAACTGAGAAGCTGCTCTGATTGTTGCTGTATAGTTGGATAGAAAATAGATAGATAGTAAATAGATAGATAGTAAATAGATAGATAGATAGATAGATAGATAGATAGAAAGATAGATTATTTGATATAACTTGAGAGTTCTTGGTCCAACCTCAGGTTCTCATCCCACATCATTTAGGATAAAGGGATTTAGGTCTATGTGTTGGGGGAGGGGGGAGGGGAGGGGGAGGGGGGGATGTGGACTTTTAGGATTTTAGGAGGGAAAACTAATTAACAAAGGTTTGCATGTTTAAAACACATTAACTGTACTGCATGATAAACGTAAACAAACAAACAAACAATGCAAAATAACAGGAACAACTATTAAGACATGAAAGTTTAAGGTTAGCTGACACCATTTCAGAAAAATTTGGACGAAAAACAAATGTATAAAATGAGAAAAGGAATGTATTGTAAATGAACAGAGTTATTCACAAAGGATAAGACTCCAGAGACGACCACTGTACGGATCTTTTTTTCAACCCAACATTAAAAAACTGTATTTTTAAATTCAGATCGTTAGCCTTAGAATATAAGTTTGTGAAAGTGTCTAAGTAAAATCTAACATATATGTGTTTGTTTCCAGGATGGAAAGATTACATTTTAAATATTTAAAGTTGTTAAAAGCCTCTAAAAGCATTCAGTAAAAGAATCTGGAACAAACCTTAAACAATTAAGTCTAAATCTTAAATGAAAGCAAATCAATTTGAACCAATTCCGTCAATTCCGATATGATTTTGATATTTAATCTTATAGTTCATATTTCCTAAATTTTGATATTAAACCTTAAGTATTTGTTCTTCTATAAATCTGCATATTTTGATATTCAACCTAACGTATTTATTTGTCTATAAATCCTGATATTTTGATATTCAACCTAACGTATTATTTGTGATTTTTGAAATTCAGTAAAACGTGAAAATGAATCCAAAAAACTGTATTATTTCTTTATTCCTGGCCAACATGTCAGAATAGAGTTGAATAAAGATTCAAAACATCAACAAATGAGAATAGTATATGATTGATCTCTATACTCCAGCATCCAAGATACCAGTTTAAAGGGGAACACAAAAAACTGTTAAAATGTATTTTTTGCTGAGAATGCTGTTGTTTATTAATAGATATACACTGTTAAATCGATGGGTTTGAGCTAACAAAATTTATTAATGAAACCTCTAAACATTTCCTCTTTCAAAAATTTCTTTAACAACATTTTTATCCATTTTTCATTTTTAACTGAGAATTTTGCGGGTGCCATTAATTAAGAATATACTGTCCAGAATATTGTAATTATGGTAATTGGTTTAAACCGGTAAAGTAAATTACTGGCAACATGTTAAAGATTAAGGTGTCTATAAGAGCATATACAGATCAAGTTCTACTTATATTGTTGTACACAGTACAATACAATTATAGCACTAACATGTACATTTTCAACTAATCTTAATAATATTAAAGCAGCCCTGAGCCATAGTCTCAAAAAGTTGATTTTGTGTTGATAGAAAAATATTACTTTAAGAATTCTGCTTAACATGCCAGTAGGAACACTAAATTACACCTTCAATTTTAGAACTTAATTAATATGCCTTTTGCCCTCAGGACATTATACCGACCGATTAGAATCTTACAAGAGTTAAGAGAGTGTTCGAACTCAGTTTTGTACCTTTACCAAAAGTTAGAGCGCACTTTTAAAAAGTGCCAATATTAAAAATGTACATTACAAAATGTACGCCATATGAAGACCAGATTCTTCAGTTCAACAGATTTTATTGTGTAAGTTTTAGGATTAACTTCGACGAGTTTCTTTCATTGGTCCAATCCCGCTGGTTAGCTAGTGCACTGGTTATGAATTATGTGAACATTAAGAACCCATAAAACTGTGGAAACAGAAGACAACTGTTAGATTTAAGTTATTATTATAAATAGTTCTATGATATGAATATTAAACACAGCATTTGTGCAGTGAACACAGACCCATTTCACTTGGTAAGATTACAAGTAAACCTATTTACTTTATATCAATATAAAATACACACCATATTGTTTAAAAGTCGGCTTCCTATTCCACAGTTTTATGGGCTCAATGTATATACAGTTGAATAATGAATACAATATGCGTAATTTTGTTTCATATTTATACTTTTCAGTATCTGGTCATATATTCAACATATTTTTAAAGATTGTGTATATTTACGCAATATATTCACGATTTGATTTAGTACTGCAAAACGTTAGACTAAAGCTTGATATTTATGAATTTCCTGACACAGTTGCGCCAAATCTGTCTTTTATTAGTTCTCTAAAAGTTTTTGGAGAACACTTTTTTCTTAGGTTTTCTTTTTTCTGGATTTATATCCTTATCCCATCTCCTACTGGATCCATATCTTTAATCCCATCATGTACTGGATTCATTTCTTTAATCCAATCTTCTACTGGATCCATAATTCTTTAATCCCATCTCCTACTGGATCCATATTTTTCATCCCATCTTGTACTGGATCCATTACTTTAAACCCATTTCCTACTGGATCCATATCTTTTTCCCCATCTTATACTGGATCCTTTTTTTTAATCCATCTCCTACTGTATCCATTTCTTTAAACCCATCTTCTACTGGATCCATAATTCTTGATTCGATCTCCTTCTGGATCCATTTCTTTAATCCCATCTTCTACTGGATCAATATCTTTAATCCCATCTTGTACTGGATCCATAATTCTTTAAACCCATCTTCTGCTGGATCCATAATTCTTTAATCCTATCTTCTACTGTATCCAGAGTTCCTTGATTCCATCTCCTTCTGGTTCCATTTCTGTGGTCTCAAATCCCACTAAATTCATTTCCTTCAGCCTATCTCCTGGATTCATTTACTTAACCCCATATATCTCCTAGTGGATCCATTTCTTAGATCCCATCTCCAACATTTCCTTGATCTAATCTTCTACTGGATCCATGTTGTTGATCCCACCTCCTAGCGGATCTTATATATTTCTTCCTGGATCCATATACTTGATCCAATCTTCTAATGGATTGAGTGTACTTTTTTCCTTCTTTCTTGCTCTTCCAAGAAATTATTAAATATTTATTCTTCATTTCACTTTTTTAATTGATCCCCTTTTGGTAAACACACAGCTGTATGAACAACGTTATTTTAAGTGAACTCCATTTAAAGAGTTGCATGCACAGAATATGATCTAAAGAGTACCATTGTACATCAGAAAAGCAAACCTTGAAATTACGTTGATTTCCTCTTTAAAAATCGAAAATCTTTATTCAAATTCAACGTTACAAAGGTCCAGCCTTTTTTTTTTACCTGGAAGTGAACCTGAGTTCGGATACTCTTGATTTATCGACGCTCCCAACCCACTGTAGGTCAACGTATACGCGTTCTTGTTTACTTTTATCTAAATAAAAACAAAACTGAAAAACAGGACAAATCAATTGATCAATTAATTAATTGATTAATTAATCAATTAATCAATTAATCAATTAACCAATTAACCAATTAATCAATTAATCAATTAATCAATTAATCAATTAATCAATTAATCAATTAACCAATTAATCAATTAACCAATTAACCAATTAATCAATTCATCAAATAATCAATTAATCAATTAAGCAATTAATCAATTAATCAATTAATCAATTAATCAATTAACCAATTAATCAATTAACCAATTAATCAATTAACCAATTAACCAATTAATTAATTAATCAATCAATCAAATAATCAATTAATCAATTAAACAATTAATCAATTAATCAATTAATCAATTAATCAATTAACCAATTAATCAATTAATCAATTAATTAATTGATTAATTAATCGATTAATCAATTAACCAATTAATCAATTAATCAATTGATCAATTAATCAATTAACCAATTAACCAATTAATCAATTAAAAGGTGGGAAATGTTGCACACTTTATTGAGAGATCTTAAATATGTTTTCCAAAATAATTTTAGGGGTAAATTTACATGAAATGGCACACTTTAAAAATGTCCGAACCATTTAACTCTAAAAAATTACATTAAAAATGGAAATTAAAAAAAAAAACTTGCCCATTTAAAAATGCTGAATAATGAAGATTGGGATTTTTTTCAAAATAAAATTTAAATGTTATAATAAATATATTTATCCCTGAATATAACTATATAAAGAACCAGTTGAAATTCAAACAACTTATTGACATGCATCAGTGCATTGCAGATATTTAGACACCTAGCCTAGTCTAGGTGTTATGGGGGGGGGTCCAAATATTGAATTAAATATTAAATTGTATATTTGAATAATCTATGCATAATTGAAAATTTAAATTCATCAATTTATATCCATCGCATTATTTACATTTTGAGTAAAACAAAAAGCAAATAAAATTATGTGCTCCTATTTGATACATTTTTTTCTGAAAAATGGGTTTACCTTAAATGAAGAGAAAAGCTGTTCTGATTTGCAGATAGACATATCCGTACCACTGCTACTTTCCCCACCCTGTAACAAATCCGACAATTAGAAACTTAAAAATCTACGAAAGTTTAAACATTTTAAAATGCGACGTTTGGAGACCCCATCTTTGTGAAATATTTAGTTAAATATTTAGTTAATATTTAGATGTGCTAAAATATCATTATAGAAGCAAATGATCAGATTTAAACATTAAAACGGGCACCATGCACCCTCCAGTGATTTAGTCCCCCTCCGTTTCTCAGTGATCTTTCTTGCTAGTCTGCTAAATTAATTTCTTTGTCATTATGGAAATGTGGTAGCGTAATTACTAATTCTGCAGATGTAAAACGTGTAATTGTTTCTTGCAAAAACATAGTTGTAAGAACTTATTCTGCACAACAAAATATGACAAAAAGTATTTAAATAAAAATGATTATTTCATGATTTACTTTTTATGGAAATAATTCTTAATCTTGTGTGAAATCGAAATTTATTTTTTATCCTTTTTATTCAGTTTTTTGTATTTAGATATATTTACTTATTTTATAATCAGTAATAACTTATTTTTATATTCAGTATTTACTTATTTTATAATCAGCATTTACTTGATTAATGATCCGTATTTACTTCTTCACATTTAGAAATTTATTTCATAGCCTAATTTGTAATTTTTGTAATTAGTTCCTCCCCCTGTTTTAATTCAGTAACTTGATATTAAAAACATTTTTAGCCGCGTAACCCCATTTTATTTTAAGTTATTACACTTTGAAATAAATAAATCGACCAGTCAAATCATAAGCGGCCGGGGGGGGGGGGTATAAAGTCCTGAAGATCTTATCCTTCTTATTAATAGCTACTCGATTGCTGAAAAAAAAAATACTTTTTGAAAAAGAAAAAGAAAAATCTTTTTACTCGATTCATTTCAGAACTCTTTAAACCTTTTTATAAGTCGTTTGGAATTGAGATATTCTTGATTTTGCTATCTAAAAACTTGATGATTTTCTAAGATATCTTCCTCATTGATATTGAGGCTTATTAGTGGTGAGATCTTTCGTCTCAAACGAAATAAACGTTTCCTTTATCGTTTAAGAATTCATTTCCTCCGTGCGCAATGCTCTCGCTTAAACATTGACTAAGAAACCTGTCAGTGTCACGCGCGCAAGCATTCTTCCTGCGTGCACAAGATATGCAAGCAAGCGTGCACATAGTTCCTGACTCCCATGAAAAATTGAATCTGGTTAAAAGACAGAGGGTTGTTTTTGAAGAGTCGCATACCCCTTGGGACTTTATTTTATCTAAGTTACTCTACTATTCTTTTTGTAGCCTTAGACCTGTTATACAGCACTTGTTTTTAGCTTTAGCTTTAGTTGTTGATAAAGAAATTAGCAAAATTCTCATCGTTATTTGCGTTACAGCTTGCAACCTTTGGATTGGTGTGCAGTGTGCATATTGCCTAATGCTTTATAATTTGAAAATATCATGATTTTCCTTGAAAACACCCCTTGTACGAGACTACACCCTACCCCGGACTAACCAGGGCGAAATGGAGTCAATTTCTTCTAATAAAATTCAATCACGTGTTGGTCTATAATTCAAAAATCTTTGAACTTACGGCGTTTTCATTTTTTACTGTTTAGTTTAAAACCATGCCGAAAAAAGTATAAAGGAGAAAAGACGGAAAAATATTTTTAATAGGTTAAACTGAGATTAAAAGTCACAGTTCTCTGGATAAGGACCAAACCTGCAATTTCACCATTTAAACACAAAGCTGCAAAGCAAAAAAATAATTAAACACCATTTCATACAATATATGTATACACAGTGGACCCATCAAGCTCTGGTATTAAAAGAAGACACAATCTATGATTTTGAATTGTCAAATGAAAATAAAACATGGCGATTGTGGAATGTGATATATACACCGACCCTTTTAACTGTATAGGTAGATTCTGTAAGCTACTGATAGAACTATCTGATTTTTCACAATAAATAAATTAAATATCCTCTTTAATTTCACATTATAGTAGGTCTCACAGATATTTATATTAAAGTAACCTACTAGAGAATTAATTCAAAGTTTAGTTTATGGAAGAAAAAATAAAAAAAGTAGTGAATGTCAAAAGAATCTTAGCGAATTATTGTCTAAACTTTTAAAATGACACTGATATAATATATTATACTTACAATGCTCTGAACGGAATAGGTAAATGCATTTTGAAGATCTTCGTTCTTAAAATCGTCGAAATCAATATGAGCCAGGTTGGAATCAATCCTGTCATCCATTCAAACATATAAATTAAAGCAAAATATGAATCGCCACAGGCATAACTTAGGCCTGTTAAATATCTATTAATACCCTTTATTTAGTCTGGTTTACCAGGTTTATCATTTAAAATTTTATCAAACAATGGATAATTATAGATACTGTTACAATTCTAACATATCGCCGTGCTGTAATAAAGAGTTTAAAATCTGTTCTCAGAAATGTCACAGTATTTTTATATTTTCCACTGTTTTATTGAATAAAAAATAGATCTTTCATTAAACGATAACATTTAAATTAATTAGGTTAATTCAGCCGCGTCATTCGTAATTTAATTGAAAACTAAATCTAACAAAATTCGCAATTCATCCTGAAAGAAATCCGGCAAATGTTCAACAAAAATCCGCGAAAATTTTCAAAGTATAAATCCGCGGCATAATACTTGTAATTTTGATAAATAAATAGATTTGTTTGGTTTGGTTCCCTGATAGGATCATGACCCCCCATCCATTGATATTCCATTCTGTAACACTCTTCTGCCTCTTCACATCTAAAAAACAAAAATCTTCTGTTATTTCTGTAAAATTTCAATATTTTCTTTTTTTCTTACGATATATTCCCATATACGTTACAATTACATCTTATTCATGATTTACATATATGCAAATGTAATGTCTGAAATTTATCTTTAACATGTTTGAAATTAAAACTTTTATATATAGAAGATTATTTTTACCTTTCGCCAGTGGTACTAATTAAAATCGTCATCTTTAAAATAAGACAACGATTAAATTAGACTTTAGGCTTATCCATTCATTATCTGTACTCTGTAATTAGAAGCCATTCATTCATAAATTCATCCTTTTATTTATTAATTCATCCTTTCATTCATTTATTCATCCTATCATTTATTAATTTATCAATTTCATTCTTTCATTCACTCTTCTATTTATTAATTCATCCTTTAAATTATTAATTCATCCTTACAATTATTAATTCATCCTGTCTTTCATTTATCGATCATTTGTTTGTTATCTGATATTTTATACCCTCCATCCTTTGCAAATTATATTCAATATTTTATATTTACTATCGATATAAATTAAAATTGTTTTTTTCAAGTCCACTAATGAACAATGGAATAACCCCTTAAAAATCCAAGGTCATAAAAACCTATTCTAGAATTCAAGAATTTAGAATCTATCTACATAATTATTACATTCTAATAGATTTTAGTATTTAGATAGATTTTAGTATTTAGATAGATTTTAGAATTAGGAGTTTAGTTTTTTAGCTTTATATAAATAGATGAGAATTGAAGCAATTTAGAATCTATCTACATAATTATTACATTCTTAGGTTCTACTTGCCAAACTAGAGATTGGTTTAATCGAACAACAATCTACATATAATATGTATATTTCTGTATTTAACTTTATTTGACTAAGAAATAAACTATACATTATGTTTCATGCTTTGCCAGCAATCTTCGGTAGTAAAGTTTGACCTCTGATATGTATATTAACCTGTCTATCTAATTGAAACGCGTCTATTTTATTTGTGACAGTATGGTATTTGGACAATAAGGATTTCTGACTGCAACTTTTCATTTTCAAATCTACAATATCCAAACCACCCCCATTATGCATCTGCTAGAGGGCTGGGAGGGGTTGGTGGGATACTTTTACAGATTTTGGGATGAATCATCCAAATATGGAAACTAGCCGCATGTAAAGCTGGAAGGATTTGTAGGGGGAGGGGGCCAGGCAGGGATACCGGGATATGCCTTAAGATAGATATATAGATAGATAGATAGATAAATACAAGAAAGAAGAAGAAAAAAATAATTAAAATATGATATCGAAGAAAAAACTCGAGAATCCCAAGTAAACATGTTAATCCTATAAAATAAAATCATAATTTTTTGTCTTGTATGTCCTTGAGACATGACTAATAATAACCTTGGGATCAATATCACGAAAAATAAAAGTAAAAAGAAGAACCAAAACCAATAATGTAAAAAAAGATTTTTCTAAAATATTTTTTTTTATTCTGCCCACATTTGTAACATAGTTTTTTTATTCTGCCCCCATTTGTAATAGATTTTTTATTCTACCCCTATTTGTAACATATTTTTTATTCTGCCCCCATTTGTAATATATTTTTTATTCTACCCCCATTTGTAACATATTTTTTTATTCTGCCCCCATTTGTACTATATTTTTTATTCTGCCCCCATTTGTACCATATTTTTTTATTCTGTCCCCATTTGTGATATATTTTTTATTGTACCCCCACTTGTACCATATTTTTTATTCTGCCCCCATTTGTAACATATTTTTTTTCTCATATTTTAATCGCCGAAAATTAATAAATACATGGACATGGATTTCAGAATATTAGAATGTTTACAGAATTAGCATGTGCCCCCCCCCCCGCTGGGCTGACTAGACATATGTTTATTTAAAAACTTCACAAATTTACATGTTAATTAATCTATTAATCTATTAATTAATCGATTCAATTCATTATTTAATGAATTATTCGTTAATATTTCATAAATTCTAATTTCTTTTGTCACACATACAGTTTCTTTGTTTTTGTTTTTCTTTTTCTTTTTATATGATTTTGTATTTGGTTATTCTCATAAATAAATCTACAAAATGTTAGTTAATGCATTTTGTATTTCTTTATCTATTTATTCATAAAAACCTCCCCCCCTTCCAAGGTTATAATGCAAGGAAAGTTATTTCAGAGGTGTATGCATCTTTTGTACTGCAGTGTACTGTCTCTTGGCGGTAATGTAAACACAAGACAGATGTCACAGCATGACATGGGATCCATCTTTCACATAAAAAAAATCACTTGCCCCCTTCTCCCTTCTAATAAGGACGAACTGTACATTGTACTCCCCCCTCTTTCTCCCGCATTCCTAAGCTTAGTTTAAATGACCATATAAATATCTGTATGCAATATGTGCACGCTATATGCCATGGGAATTTTCAGACCTACCAGGCTAGTAGCTGTTCATCAGTTCAAAATACAGGTTTTTCAGACTACGTTTTTTTCACACAATTGACACAAGAGAGAGGGGGGGGGCAGCTGGCGGTTTTCCCTTCCTTTACGCGAAACTAGCTTTAACCAAGCATGCCTATTTAAAATTCGGTGATGGTGATGGACCAAACCTCTGTAGAGCATGCCTGGTCTTTTTTTAGATATGATGTTTTAAAAAATAGAAGATGCTATTGTTAACTAATGAGCAAAAAAGATTCCGAAAGAAAAGACTTGCTGTCAGTAACTTAATTCTGATTTCAAATATTTCGATATGTTTAAAGGGGGGAGGGAGGAAGAGCAATAAGAGTGTTTGTGTTAGGTAAAGGGGGGTAGGTGTGTTTGTGTTAGGTAAAGGGGGGTAGGCGTGTCATATTTGAATAAAAAGGGCGGGACCTGCTTAACAACCCGTAAACAGAACGCAAAAATAATGAAATACGACTAAGACGTATTTAAAAACCTTATTGCCAATTTGTATTTGCTTTGCAAATATTTCAGATTTAGCTAATTCTATTTGTTTTTTGGACTTGATCATGATCACATAACATTAAACAAATGAATAATAGATTTGTTCATTTTATTTCAAATCTGTTCATCTACTTGTATGAACTTTCTATAATAAATTGATTGCATGATTGCATTGTTAATATATAAGAAAGATATTATAGTAATAATTTTGATTAGTCATAAAACAAAATGAAATTTATTTTGACCTAAACCTGTTGTTGCAATAATATTGCATTTGGGCTCTATAAAAATATTACGCAATTCAAGAAAAAAATGTTTCAGACGTTTTTTTGTTTCAGAATTTTTATTTTGTAAATACAATTTGTTTAGGAAAAACTCATCATTACTACCCTGCCTTCTAAGACCTCCCCCCCCCCTTCAGATACAAATATGTTTTAAAAGTATTTTTTTAACGCCGACCTTATTTTTTTTTGCGTTGAACATATTGTATTGTCTCACATAGAATATCAATTTTCAAAACTTAGTTCAGACAAGAAGATAGAAACAACAACAGTGAAAGAAAACATAAGGATTAGTTGAAATAGTCAAACATTTTTAAAAATTAATCTGAAAAATTATGAATTATTTTTTCTTCATTATTTTACTTCAGAACTGAGTTCTAATCACAAACTCTGATTTTTTAATCCCTATATATTTGCAACAAGACTCCGTAGATTATTGATATTTAATTGAATCAGATCAAATAGTCTATGTTTGAAATATCAAATGCTTACAGCAGCAGTTGTTGCAAGGATATATGGATTTGAAAATTTTAGTTTGAAGCTAAAACCATTTTTTGTATTTATATTTTTTGTATTTGTGCACAGCTATACTAATAAAAAATTAGAAAAGACAAAAATTGGGAAAATTTGTTATTGTTTAAAAAAAATGTTTTTTACGCAAATCTGGTTTTTACCGGAAACCAAGTGAGTTAAATTTTACACTTTCTAGACAAGAATTACACGATTATTAACAAGAAGCCATATTTATTTTAAATATTTTTCTTCATAAAAATATTTATATATCAAAAGTGAAATAAAAGCAAGTATGTTCGTAAAAACCGACCTGTTTTTTGTATCAAAAGTTAATGAGATGAATGCATTTTGTAAACAGGTACTCGGTGCGATGATTCAAATGTAAATATTTAAATTGAATATAAGATGTATTAGACGTTGTTGGACAAATTATAGATGAAAGATAAAACAGGAGGCTTACTTTTAAAAATAAAATATACATAAAGATACAGCACGATTTGTATATAACTGCACCTCTAATATACAGTGATGTTAGCTACAGATTACACAGATAGGATACGGCACTTATCCTTTGTTTACGTTCGGTTGTATATAGTTATATTTTGTACTCGTTTGAACTTTAAGGAACGTAATTTTGACTAACCCTCAATGTAAAGATAACAAAGCCCGATTTTCTTAACCCTATAAAGGCTAAGGGGTCTGAATCTATGTGTAGCCTGGGGGTGGGGGTATAAAAAGGCCTTAGAGAATAGGCATAGGGTTAAAAAGCATGTACAACAGCCCAATCTTTCAAGGCCAGCTCATCAAAAAAATTAGACTGTAGAACTGTAGAAGTTTGAGTGCAAGGAAGATTTTTGAAAAAATGGGGAAAAATAGGTTCAAAAAAATGAAGAAATTTTGTTTTTTCTTTTAAACAAATATCATAGTGTGACACATGTTTCTACATCCATTTTTCAAGGGTTTTATAAAAATATAGTTTTTAGATCTGTAGTCAAAAAAAAGTTACGGGCTATTTTAGATTTTGTATTTTCAAAAACCGGGTTTTTTTCCGCCCTGTTCACAACACTATGCATTAAAAAAATTGGTTTACAAAAAATCCTTTAAATTTATATTCATGAAAAGTCACAAAATTTCACGAGGATAGTGTCAAAAATGAGAGTTCTAGGACAAAAAAAAACTACAGGGGGGCATCAAACGCCCCCCCCCCAGCCTATTTAGGGTTAACGGTAAGAATCCTAAAAGAAACCTAATCTGATCAAAAATGTGAAAGACAAAGGGTCACTTGAAATACGCTTACAGTCCCTTTAATAACACTGCACAACCTGACACGGGAGAGGTTGTACTTTTACAAATAATTTGACTAAAAGTTATATACAGGAAAACAGACTTCCTTCCTTATCTACGTAATCTATGGTATCATTATTTGATCAGCAGAGATTACGGTTTGAGTGTAAAAAGTGACAAGTATATGCAGCAAACTGTTCACATCGTGTTTCTTGTTAAAATACATCAATGTTTATTTTTGCTGGATAAGT